TGTGAAGAAGGAAAGCACTTGCCTTTGTTTACAGCTTTCAACACTTGCTCGACACTTGATGTTTTTGGTTTTACTGTAACCAGATTCTCCTAACTCATCATTATCTTGACCATGATTAAATGCACTCCCCATCTTTAGTTGATTTTACTAGTTTCATTAAACATCGTGGCAACTGGCATATGCCATCTTTAAATCACTAATGTAATTTAGCTGCATAACTTGTTGATTGGTGTAGAAGCAGATTTAATCAGCAGTGAATCGGAGAGCTCATTGCTACCTATGTACAGATCCATGTGCAATCGTGAATACGTCAGGGGCGTCGACCCATCAGTTCCAGCTGATGTATTTCATCGTTGAGCATGCAAAATAATAGCCTTGCCAATTTCACGTCGTCGTTTTTGCGACTCTGGCAGATAATGTACAGATTTTGTGATGCAGTAAGTGTATCGGATGCTCGACGGCCCGGCGAGCCCTGTGTGATCGTTGTCGTCGGCAAATAGTAATTTAAAAGTATTTCATGGTCGTGTTTGTATTTTCATGTGATCGAGCGCGTCGATCGATGGAGAGAAGACCGTTGACAGCTTGTCAACACGTCGCGCGAGAAAGGACACATCAGTTGCCTACGAATCGGCAATATCGTAAAATCGTGCGAGCGAACTTCGTGTGTTACGAATATCGACTTTGTGTAAGTCGTGTGTGTAAGTCGTGTGTGCGATACGCAGTGTGTGTGAGCGCGACATCCAGGGTGATCCTCTGGATGTTTAAGTCACTCGACTCTTGTTCGAGCTCCACGGGTGAGATCCCCTAAGCCCTCTTCGTGAGGATTGTGGCCGGCTCGACGAGAGCTCGAGTGCGCAGAGAGGGTGTGGTTCGAGCCGATCATCGTCACAGCGAGGAGAGGATGACGAGACATCCGGGCTCACTATTTTATTGTGTTACAGGAGGAACACCAAGCCAGAGGACCAGCTATACCGATAACGGATCTCGTGGTGGTGAGTCGGGCGACGAACTGCTGTATTGAGTTTTCCCTCTAGGCCTCGCGCTCGACGCGTTGCTACGCGAGAGTGCCAGCGACCAGTTCTCGGGCCGACTCGGCCGTGTACGATAGAGCGAGTAATAAATCGCCGTTATATTGAATATTTCGTGTATTATTAATTATTGTATGAATGAGCCAATTCCCAATTATTCTCAATATAGGTACCGAGCTGGTGGCGGAGCTGGAAGGGACACGCGTGACCGAGGAGAGGTCGTAGATCGGGCAGTAAAACCTAGGTCACAATTTGACAAACCCTAATAATGTAAAAAAATTATTATCCTTAATCACATTAAATCAATCTAAGAAGTAACGACTTACCATTTAGAAATTTCAAGCAGACGCAACAGCACGCAGTGAACATCTAACCTTCGTACGTTTTTAAGATACCGAGGTAAAATGTAAATAAACTCGAGACATGGCGTCTCATCTAGCGCCATCTCACGCGTGCTGGGGCGAACTGAAGTGAAAGGAAGCTGGATGCCGCAGTACTTGCCCGGGATCTGCTCCCGGTATGATACCGCGGTAAGCATCAGGGTATACACCGGTATAAACACCGAGGTACACACCGGTATAAACACCAGGGTGACACCGGTGCTAAAACCAGTGCTAAAACCGAAGCTCATACCGTTGCGCGCGCGAATCATGATCAGGAGATCATGATGATAAAACAGTGTAACAGAGGTCGCATTGAGTATGCGTCATTGGTTTATCGCATGGCGACAACCGGTCGACAAATTTTCGATTCACGCACTTTCTACATTGAATATCGCGCATCAGGAGATCAGAATTATCCTAAGAAGTATCTTTAAGAAACCAAGAGCTCACTTTTTATGTTACCCTATAGATGCTTCGATCTCAATACGGCTTTGATTGTAGACATTCCTGCTGCACTAGCGGTGCTCTGGGCTATTCCGACACTGTGAACGCACTCCTTGACTTTCCCTGCAACCCACAAGTCAGGACAGCCCATTATATTTCTACGGCCCGCAGTGGCAACAGAAAATATTATTAAATTTTACACAGATTACGCAAAAAAATATTATTCACCTGGGAGTTTTATAATTTTCGATGGATATCTAGATAATCCATTAAAATCCATCAAAGCCCGTCTTCGACAGGACACGATGATTATGGGCTGTGAGATTTCATTCGACCTATCAACGTATATTACTATAAAACAGAAGTGATTATGGAGTAATGAGAAAAATAAAAAAAATTCATTGTTCTGCTTGAAGAGGCGTTAAATGATGCAGGTTTTAACACGAAAAAAACCGAAGAAGATGCGGGCGCCTTTATCGTGCAGACAGTTATAGAAGTGGCCAAATCTACGAATAAAAATGTTTTCATGGGACAAAACGTCGATTTACTAGTAATAGTGATTCAATTAGGTCAGGGTCTGACTAATTTGTATTTCGTGTATCATGAAGGTACGAATATGTATTATGACGTGAAAAGCTTCAAAAATGAAAACTTAATACCAATTGTCGCGTTCCTCCATATCTTCACCGGATGTGAGACAACATCTTGTTTCTTTGGAAAGGGTAAAGGGGGGTACATTACGTAACTGAGGCGAGGGGATGTCTATCTTGCAGGTAAACCGGACAGTCGATGGCGTCGACCTGGAGTGGGCGCAGCTACGACCGGACCTAGTCGTTCGCGACGAGGTCCGGAAGAAAATAGTCATTGTCGACATGGCCGTGCCGTTCAAGAATCGTGGTGTGGTTCTGGAGGAGGTGAGAAGTGAAAAGCTCGCCAAGTACCGGGGTCTAGCTGCACGTGCCTCGAAAGGCAGGGGTACGACGTCAAGCTGATGCCCTTCCTTGTTGGAGCACTCGCCGGCAATGAGCGGGTTATCCGTCTTCTCGGAATTAAACGTCGCTACGTGGTTATGATGAGACGGCTGATGATCAGCGATACCATCAGATGGTCGAGGAATGTTTACTTGGAGCACGTGTCTGGGGCTCGGCAGTACTAGAGCCACGCGCGGGTATATTTTCGTTTTTCTTTATTGTATGTAGAATCATTTCCACTTGTTTTTTCACACTTGGCTTACTTTTTTTATCTGTTTTATCTGGGTTATCTGGGTTACTTGGGTTACTCGGCCGAAAATGCTCCTTTCAACAGAAAAAAGTCAAACAAACATCCTCACATTATTTCCGAGTAAAAAATTGGATATTAGTCTCCCCTTGAGCAGTTGGGTTACTTGGGTTATCTGGGTTATTTGGGTTACTCGGTCCAAAAGGCTCCTTTAACATGTAAAAGTTAAAGGAACACCCGCACATTATTTCCGAGAAAAAAAATTGGGGATATAAATCTCCCCACGAGCAGTTGGGTTACTTGGTTTATATGGGTTATATGGGTTACTTGGGTTACTTGGGTTACTTGGGGTTACTTGGGTTACTTGGGTTACTTGGGTTATCTGGGTTATCTAGGTTATCTGGGTTACTTGGGTTACTTGGATTATCTGGGTTACTTGGGTTACTTGGGTTACTTGGGTTACTTGGGTTACTAAATCTCCCCACGAGCAGTTGGGTTACTTGGGTTATATGTGTTACATGGGTTACTTGGGTTATCTGGGTTATATGGGTTATCTAGGTTATCTGGGTTATCTAGGTTATCTGGATTACTGGGGTTACTTATTTGATCTTATCTTTCTCTTGAGGGTGCGAAGACGCCACCTTAAGGTGTCTAAAGTAAACACCGATGAAAGTCAGGACCATCTCCGCCTTCGCAAAGTTTTTGAACGATTTACTGGAGCCAATAATAACGTTAGAGGAATACAATCGGCACCCTCTGAAATAAACGTAGGTAAATACAAAAATAAACAATTTTTCATTTTATACTAAGTTTTCCGACTATTGCACATAACAAATTTTAACATTGATTCAGATAAAAAAACCGATGCAGTCTGAAATATGTATGTAAAATGTACTGTAAAAAATACGAGATTGAGTTTAAGAATAAATTTCAAAGATATTTCGACGAACCATGGGGAAACCTTTTAATTTCGGTGGTGTAACAATAAAAACAAATATCCCAAGCTTAGAAAAATAACCGTAATAATTCTAGGTGTAAGCTAGCTAAATTGATCAATGGCGCTAATGGAAAGCATCGAACGGGGTTGCAGCTCGTTACAGCCATCTATGAGGTAAGAGGCACACTCAGTTAGTCGGTTGGTATAGGTGCAGCAATAATTTTCCAGGTGCACGCGACACGAGTCATTGTCAACCTTATCCGTAGAGGGTTTCGTCGCAGTTATTATCCTGCGAGTTGCCCGACGAGGGATGAGCTACTCCGACGTACGGACGGCTATTGTACTTACGGGGGGTTGCAGGCGAGTAATCGATCGCAGCGCAGACGGGGGGTGCAGAGCCGAGCGAGCGTCGCGTGACGGGGCGCTGCTGCAGCTGCCGCCAACGTTACGTGTAACATCGCCCGCGCACGCAGTATACGTGAGTCATATTGATTGCTCGTCGTCGTCTGTCTCGGTAGTTCGGGTACATAGTGCTGGTGTGTGCGTGTGTGTATGTGGTAATGGGCCAAGCTATATGTAGGTAGTAGTTGGTCGTATGGGTAGTAGATAGTATGGCTCGTAGTAGAGGGTAGTCTGTGCGCGCGCAGGGCTAACGCACTCGTCGTCGTCGTCGTCGTCGTCGTCGTCGAGACTCGGTTCTATATACGATGGTGCGCGCACCGCCGAGTGGACTGGTCTCTCGTGGTGTCTCTTTCTTGCTCACTCGCCGAGGCTGCTGAGGTGGTGGGCGCGTTGGCGCGAGTGCTCGTGTACTACTACGAATTGCACCTCGCGCAAGACTATATAGCCTCTTTCATTCGTCACAGTGGCTCTCCTATATGTATATATGCACCTGTATGTATAGTGGCAGTGTGTGTGGTGGCGTGGGCTGCTGCTGTAATAATCCAGAGCTGCAAACGTAGTCGCGCGCGCGTACGCGAGTAGCAGCAGCAGAGTTGCAGCACCTCGCGCGGCAGCTGTCAGCAGCAGTTGCAGCAGCGCCAAAGCCAATCGAGGAAGATGCGCTTGCTGTAAGAGAGAGCGAGTGTGCTGCGAGCTACCCGAGAGTAGTAGTGCGCTTGAGGGGGGCTGCTATAGCATCCTCGAGGCCCATCGCGACGACAAAACGCCGTCATCGTTGTTTTTGCTGCTGTTGTGTTGTGTTGCTGTGTGCGCGTGCGGCAGCGGCAGCGCTGAGAAAGGTCTCCCCTCGTCTCTCTCTCTTTCTCTCCCTTTCTCTCCGTTTCTTACGGTGTGCGCGAGTGGCGGCCGCCCCGTTCGCTGTCGACAGTAGTAGTGCTGCTCGCCCTGCTTGCCCCGGAGCCGCTGCAGGGCCAACGTTGAAATATTCCGCGCGGGGGGTGGCGAATCCGACGGGGCAGTTGGTGTTGGTAGTAGCTCCGTAATACACGACGTAGTCACATAGTCGGCTGCAGTTTGTCGCGTCCAGTCGAGTCGGTCGGTCGTCTGCGCTGCCCCACCGTCGTCGAGACGACGTCAATCACGACGACGACACGCGCCGCTCGAGCAGAAGCAGCTGAGGTGACGCAGCGATGGTCATGATGATGACCAGTGGCATGCAGCAGCAGCCGCCGCCGTTGCAGCCGGGCCCGCCGTTGCACGGGGGTCATCCGGCCCACGGCAGCATGGACGAGCACGAGCGCAAAATCGTCGTCGAGTTCATCCACCTGCTGGAGAAGAGCAAGCAGCTGTTCAACGGCCTGCGCGATCTGCCGCAGTACGGCCACAAGCAGTGGCAGGCCTACTTCGGCCGGACATTCGACATCTACACCAAGTTGTGGAAGTTCCAGCAGCAGCACCGGTGAGTCACGAGCCCCCTTGAGTTATCTATACAACGCACTCCTTAAGGATGAGCATCGTCGGTTGTTGCTTATCAGCGTGAGTCCCGAGAACGGGCGAGAGAAAGAGAGAGATAGAGGTGGCGGAGCAGTAGACGCCTCCAGGCATCTCCGCCTATATATATCTCTCTCTCTCTGTACAGCACATGCATAGAGCGAGGATGAACCCACACACCGAACAACCACTGCTTAATGCGAGCCTGACTCTATGTATGTGTGAGTTTGTGTGTGTTTGTGTCTTTTTCTGCTCCAAGCTCGTGCAGATCCCACGCGCGTGCCTACATACGTGTGGGTGCGAATGTTGTCGAGAGTCGCAAGCACACACGAGTCTTATCTATGGGCTTTTTTCTCTCCTCTTCTTCTTTGCCTCTGTCTCTCCTTCTTTTCTCTCTTTCTCTCTCAGCTTCTTTCACTGAGCAGCTTCTTTCAAGCACGCCTACAGCCCAACAGCCAAGAAAGTTGTGCTTATATATGGTCGTGAGTCGCGCTGCGGAGCCAACGTGTGCAGCTTTCTGCCTCGCTACTGCTGCTGCATTGTGTATGTTACACGCGAGCGAACGAGCGCGCGCGCGCGCGAATCAGATCCGCATAATATTGAGGCTGAATCTGCCGAGGATAACTATTTTACACAGCTGCATTAGCTGTTACGTTCTTCGTTATAACGGATTATTATTACGATTTCGAATTCATAGGGCCGAAGTATACGTAGAGTTGGACGTTGATCGATACATATTATGGCATCGGCATTCGGTCGACGGCTTTTCACTTTTCCGATCGACGCGGCTTGGACATTCTATCGGAAATCGCTTGGAGCGTGAGTCAGTCGAGCGATATATACAAGTAATATAAGCAAGCGAGAGAGAGAGAGAGTCGCGATGGTCTGTCCTTGTTTCTATAGTTACTCGTCGATATACGCTAGGCTAGCAGCGTACACGACTGTGCATGCCGACTGCCTATATGTACGAGGGGAGTGTATGTACGTGTGCGTGCACACTACGCGGTTCCGTTCTACCCCGCCGTACGTACGTAGTACTCACGCGTGTACACTGGCGCAACTTTTCCACGCGCGCGCGCGCCAAAGACAGAGCTCCAATTTTGTTTTCGTCGGAGCTTACGTATGTACACACTCGGAGCCTACGTAATGGCACGTGTATATCGTTTATATTCGTGGCTCGCACTCCCGTCCCTGCGCTTATATACCACGCGCCCGATCCGTATGATAAATTCATTTTGCCGATATCGCGCTCGCGGCTTCGTATACCCGCGTGCGCGTGCATTTGTATGCATTTATGCGTTGACACGAAGCTTTATATAGTGCACGGGGCTTACCGCGTGCTGCTGCTGCTGCTGCTGCTGCCGAAGAGAATAAACGCGCGCGCGCGCGGCTCGGAGCTTCTTTTTCTTCGATAAACGTTTTGTCGGAGTCGTGCGGGCATTGCGATCGAACGAAATGAAAGCTAGCTCGCCTGCCTATAAACCGACGCCCATTACATCTGTAATAATAGCATTAGTCTTTCAATCGGCGCGAAGAATATTTTACCAGGATATATCGGATTACCAACGGTGCAAATGAAATTCCGTCGACGAAAGCTCCGACGATATGCCTCGAATCGACTTACTTATATCGCACGGACCATGCATCGCATTGTAAAAACGATCAACGCCGAGCAGCTTCTCTCTATCTCGCATCTGCTGCGCAGTCCAGCCGATTATTAACGACGCGTTGATCTCTCGCGCTGTAAACTGTTACTTATACCGTACGTATATATAAGCCAGCTAGCTCGTGCACCGAATGCACTTGTTCACCGGTACACAGGCCGTGTGTGCGGGCAAAAACTTTTCCAGCTCGTCCCCCCGTTGGAGGCCCGCCAAGCTCTCGGCACAAAGTGTTTTGCATAAATATGCTAATTCCTCGAGCGGTGCAGCGCGATTGCCTCTCGATCTCGTGCAAGCGTGTGCACATCTCGTAGTAGTTTTAGTCGTACCAGCAGTACGGTAGTAGCGCCGAGTCGGAGTGAAGTGGCCGCTCCATTGAATATTGGCACTGGCTGCGATATCGATCTATCTTCGCTCGATCTGCAAAATTTAGCCGATACACATCTGTACTATCGGGCTCATGCACGGCGCGTACGTCGCGTCGCGCCCCTGCGCTCGTATTTTATTATACGTATATATGTATATAGGGGCGCAGCTGCAACACGTTTCAGTGTCTCTCGGCGGCGCTTGCTCGAGTAATTAAAGAAATTGCGGCCGAGTGGGGAGCGAGCGAGCGAGCGATGATCGCTACCAACGTGTGTGCGGCCGCGACGGTGCAACTGCACCCACGACACGACACATCTCGTGTGCTCCTCCGTTGCCGCTGCTGCTGCTGCTGCTGCGGCGAGCTGCGATGGCATGAGGCGGACACACCAGCGCTCGCTTATACTTACTACTTTTTTGCATTTTCAGCTGAATGAGCTATATAGAGAGTGGGAGAGAGAGATAGAGACGTGTGGTGTAGCAGAGCCACGCCAGCTCGGATAAGAAAAAAATTAATCTCACGAGCCCCCCGCGAGCTCTTTTCACTCTCCACACGTTTACGGCCGCTATATGTATAGAGCCCGAGCATCTTTTTTCTCTCTACACCCTCGCGCATCCCCCCTCCCCCCTTACCCTTCGCCACACCGCCGGCTCGACTCTTTTCTTCCCAGACCGACTATTTTCCTCTCGCCTCGCTATATAGTCGCTCTATATGCTTCTCTAAGGGTGTGTGTGTGTGTGTGTATGAGTGTAGGTGAGTGTGGGTTCAGAGGCAACAGTGAGGAGACTCGCTAGTGCCTCGTATACGTAGTGCACGTCGCCTTTTTTTTCTTCACCCTTCTTCGTTTTATGCTCCTCGGGGCATTTACTACTACCACTACTGCCTGGCATTACTACTCAGGCCTGCAAAGCTCGGAGGCCTTCACCACCACCAGCACTACCAGAGTCTCTGTTGTGCCTATGGTCACGACTGTCACGAGTCATCGTGAACATGCGCTCGTAGTTCTTTTCGCGCGCAGCTCGCAATTCCGTTCCAATGGAGAAAGACAACTTTTGTTGTCATCTCAGCTACCAACTCGCAAATCTTTCTCCTCGATCGAACAATTTTTTTGAAATTTCCCCCAAATTTTCAGCAAACTTCGTCGTCTTAACGAGATTCATGTGATTCGTCGCGACCAAAGCATTGAAACAGTGTCAATTGTTTCTCGTGTGAATGGCCGAATTTCAACTCGCAAACTCGACGATTTTTACGGCGATTCTAGAACAAATCTGTCAAAAGCAAAGTATATAACGAGCGTAAAAGCGACATAAAGAAGGAACGAATGATAAATTATTCATAGACACTGGCGAGTTATTTAGCAGATCGGGCAACTAATATACACGCAGTGTTAAGTGGGCTTGAAAATTTTCCGCGTCGATTCAAGTCACGGACCTCGCAGCTCTCCGTCGGCACGTTGCAATCCATTCATCCGAGATTCGGATGACGAGCAGAGGCAGCTGCAGCAGCAGCAGCTATGTAGCGCGCGACGATCATTCGATTATACTATATCCACGAAACGAGATTCATATTTGTGCGCGATTGCGTTGGAAGTGCATACGCTGGGCTTATAAATCGAATAGGGATTTTACCGCTGCGCTCTCGATTATCGTTAAAAGTCGAGATAGAGCGAGAGAGAGAGATGTTGGTTATAGCTCGAGCATATTGGCCATCGTGTACCGAGAGAATGATTATAATATTTGACCAACATTATATGCGACGGGTACGGCTTCCTCGGTGGCATACTTATAACATGATAATATCACGACCTACATGCTCGTCGATACTTTTCAATTTAATTTTCAAATCTCATTATATATCCCCGCGCGCGCACACGAAGGGTGGAGGAGCTGTGTAGTACGTGCGGCGCGCCACTCATCATCATCGGACTCGAGCTACGTAAGCTCGCGTACTGCAGCCTCGAGTATAGAGAGAGCTTTTTTCCTTCGCATATCGCGTATGCGGAGCTGAAAAAAAAGCCCCGGCCACAGCAGCAGCTGCAGTTTGCTACTAGAGCTGCACTCGCGTAAATGTACGGCTATTTCGCCATGTATCAATTAGCTGTGCAGCAACAGAAGCAGAAGGGGTATATTGTTAGGGATCGCTCGGCCGCGCCAATCGCCCCGAGAGATCGAGGCAAAGAGAAAAAGGAGAAAAAAAATCAAATAGCGCCCGGCGATGTAGAAGTATGATATATCGAGGTCGAGGCGCGATCGAAGAGAGGCACGAGTTGAATAGCTGACGAGGCGTAGGCGTGCGCTACAATATGCGCCCATCGCCCCCTCGTTTCGTCTGCGCTTCCTTATGTGTATTATATACCTTCGCCCGCAGATCTTAAGCATGTGCTCCGTGTCACGTATATATGATATACCTCGACGCGCAACGCACGTACATATCGTGGTAGGTGACCGAAGGGGCCGTCGAAGCCGCAGCTTCGCGAGTCTAACGTTTCGGAAAATCGATCCGTCCTCGCGCGCTGTCGCCCATCGAGCGCAGCGTAGTCCGACGAACTTGACCCATCGATAAATTCCGACGCAGCGCAGCGCTTCGTATAATGCAACGAAATTCTTTGAGTCGTCCATCACAAAATTGAGTAAAAATCACATTTTTTTTAAATCACCGGGCTTTACTTATAAAATTATTTTGATTTTGCCACTTGCAGATTTCCCGATTAAGATACTCGCCATCTAGTGGTGAAGGCTATCATTAATATTATGATTGAATTTTTACAAAGTTTTTAGCAATTGAGACAAAAAATTAAGCACCATTCAAACTAGGAGTGTGCAGGTACCCGAAAAATTGGGCTACCCGATATTATTACCCTACTCGTTGGGTTCGGGTCCGATTCAGATTGGGTCGGAACGGCTGAATTTCTCGGACTTACCTGAATTTTTTGGACTCTACCGATTTTTTCGCAACAATCCGAGTTTTTTTAATCGATCAAAAACATGAGTTGATTTCAATAACATTTTCATTCATTTTTACATTAAAAATAATGTAGTGATTGTATTTTCGTGTAATTTTTTGGCACTTTTTGTAAGAAAATAAATCAGTACTGATGCATTAATTGCATAATGAAATTAAATATCGGTTATTGTAATTTTAATATATGAATTTAGATTGAATCTGTTTCAAATTTAAGGTTGTTTTTTAAATATTGCACCACAAATCTCATTAAAGAAATGATTTTTTCCCCCTTTTCAGAGCTGTCCTCGACACAAAGTACGGCCTGAAACGCTGGCAAATTGGCGAGATAGCCAGCAAAATCGGCCAGCTTTATTACCACTACTATCTGCGGACAAGCGAGACGAGCTACCTGCACGAGGCTTACTCGTTTTACGCGGCAATCCGTGGCCGTGCCTATTACAGCCGAGCCGCCAAAGAGGACCGAAGCGACCTCATGGTGAAGAAGCTCAGGTGAGCTATCGATTCTTCCAACTTTTGAAACGTCAATCGACGCGTCTCTACATATAAATAATCTATTGACTCTCTGCGGCTCGCAGGTATTATGCTCGCTTCATCGTCGTCTGTCTGCTGCTCAACAAGATGAAGCTGGTGCGCGAACTGGTGCAGGAGCTCGACGCACAGATAGCCGACTACTCGACGACCTACGAGCCCGACGACCAGGTCGAGTGGAATCTCGTGCTCGACGAGATCAAGGCGTTCGTCAAGGCCGAGTCGGCGGTCGGGGTGTTGCACAGCGAGACCAACGCCCCGGTGACGTTGACCCATCGGCTCGGTGCCCTGAGCTCGCCGCCGATCGAACGATCGCCACCCATGTGCCTATCGCTTCAAGAGATACTCATCGTCGGTAATTGCGCCGATCAGGTGAGTAACTATTATACGAGTTATATTATTATAGGAGTATATAGAGATAAATATTTTGAAAATTTGTTGTGTAACAAGATTTATCATAAATGAAATTGTCGAGTTGATTTTGAGCTTTTTGATTTCATCAACAGATGGTGTATTGTAATCTCGCAAGTAGCTAAAAATTATCCTATTAGTATATATATTTCAATCGTTCAATCGTTACGTTACTTGGGGGTTTGACATTGAAAGTTAGATAAAGGAAAAAAAATTTTTTTAAAATATTAAAAAATTAAAAAGAAATTTTATAAAAAATAAAAAATAAATCGAAAGTGCATAGGCATTGATAATATTACAATAACGTTTCTTAGAATAGAGAATCGATTTTAAAAAATGCCAAAAAACGATAAAAAACTAAGGGTTCAAAAAAAAAAAAAAAAAAACAAATCGATCCAGAATTTAATCATTGTTCCGATGGCGCATAAAAAATTTCAAAAAATGAAAGGGTTTGTTTTTTATCATAAAAAATCGTATAAAAAACGAACCCTTCGGTTTTTTAGGGTGCGGTTTAGTTTTTTAGAATTGGCAGAAAATTTGGAAGCGATCTGTTTTTTTTAGACGTCGAAATCAGAAATTTTGACTAGAATTTTGGGGAAAAGCAAGAATTTTTGAAAGAATTGTTGATTTCACCGCTTAATATATAAGAAGATTTGCTCCTGCCTTCAAAACCTTATTTTTTAAAATTATAAGCTGAAAAATTAATAAAATTAGTAAACACTTATATGCCATTTTAATTAGTTTCGAACACTGGCGACGTTACAATACCGAAGCTGTTCAGCAACACACGATTTACTACTCCTTTCTTCCAAAAATTACTCTCGATATTCTCATCTACGATGAGTACGACATCATTTACCTTTAGTTTATGAGTTTTTGTTTGATACTTTTGTTTACTTTGCAATGTTGGTAAATATTCGTGCAACCATTGTGACCAAAATTCATCGGCATAAGCTTGCGCAAGCTTCCATTGTTTTTTAAAATTAATCACGCTACCTTTATATCTAGGCAATGCCAATTGTCCGGATGATAAACCAAAAATAAATTGATTCGGCGTGAGACTTTCACGATCATATGTTTCAATCGTACGATTCTTGCAATTTTTTAAAACCCAAACCTTTTTTTTCGTGTGTAGTACTGTTTATCAAAAGAAAACACAAACTAAAAACACGTACAAGTAATAACGGTCAGATATTCAGTCAGATCTTCAAATTTTGAGTACTTCTTCATCACTTCCCACTTGTTAATAATTGTTCTTTGGAAGTCATGTAACTTTACTAAATCATCAGGTCCATCGGACTTTTCCTTTTCTTTAACTTTACATTTGGTTGCTATCTTATGTAATTTCTTATTTTATTTACATAGATTATCAATTTAATTAAATTGCCAAATTCGCAAGTGGCGGAGAAATTCCTACTTGTTATAATAATGTTGCGACAAAATGTAGATTATCAAGTCTTTATTCTTTTTTTAGAGGCGAAACTTTTTTTGGATACATACTAACGGATTCCCTAACGTCTCTCCACAGGTGAAATTCAGCGAGCTTTCGATGGACATGTTCAGGATGCTGCAGACGCTGGAACGAGAGCCCCGCGACGATCCCCAGCACCTGCACGACACGTCGCCGGCCGGCCGGGTGCCCTTCAGGCCGGGGCCCTACCCGTCGGAGAACGGGGCGCCGCGTCGCGACAATCCGCACAAGTATCTGCTATACAAGCCGACCTTCAGCCAGGTGCAGGTGTTCCTGTCGAGCGGGATCCGCGAGCTGCCCGCGAACGGGGCGCTGCTGCTCTACCTCTCGGCGGACGGCTGCTTCTCCAGCGTCAAGCGGCCCGAAGAAAGTGAGTATCTTCATAAATGCCCGCACGATCCCCGAGGTATCTCTTTTGCACTGCAACTTTGTGTTGCATAATTCGTCGTCGAAGCGTTGCCGCCGATCGCCAAAACTTCTCTCGAGCCAAAGTCGGCCGCGCGTACGGAACACGTCGTGCGCGTATATATGTGTGTGTGTGTGCCTCTCTCACTCACTTGAGGGGTGGGGTCTGCAGGCTCGAGGAATGCAGCTGGCTCGATGGGAAGCCGCGGCCGGCGCGTGAATCGCGTGCTCGCATATTTGCTGTGGATCGGCCTCTCTCTATCTCTCTCGTCCCCCTCGCGCAACAATTGCGGGGGCCGCGTGCCATCGGGAGCTTTATGTATGCGTATCGGAGCCTGCATGTTATCGCTATCGAGTATACTATATATACCGAGCGCGCCTAGCTGCTCTCTTCAAGCCACAATTTTGCGATATAGCTTCGACCGCGCGCTGCATATCTGCAGTCATGCTCGCTTATATACATACCTGCTATATAACGATATATAATACGTATATATACAGCGCACGTCACCGCACAGGGACAATGAGCGCGCGCGGCCTAGGGTCAAGACTCGGCTGAGTCGAGACGACGCTGCACATTGTTCGTCGAGTCAGTAGAAAAATCGCGCTTTCCGCGTTATTTTTTAGGTCTCTTAGAGAGAAAGAGTGTGAGAGCGAAGTATTAAAATTTGCAGAGGGAGGGGGGGCGTTGTGACGAGTCGATGAGTCGCTATATGCTCAGCGCGGGGAGCAATTGGCTCGCTCTCGCGTAATTAGCAGCCAGCGAGAGAGAGAGCCTCTAATTGAGCAGCATCGTGTCGGGGTAAGTCGGTCGCATACAGCATATAAACGCGTCGGTGGCGTCGGCGGTGGCTCTCTAATAACTGCACGCACCACATAGCTACGTAGCGTCGATGCAGCCGCAGCGCACCGATCGATTTGCTCTGTCACGCCGTCGTCTCTGCCTCGGTTTCAGTGGCTTACGACATGGGTGGCGTCTCGACGTCGGCGAAGCGCGAGCCCGGCGAGCTCCACGGCTCCTCCAAGTCCCAGGCGGCCCAGCAGCAGCAGGCACTGCTCCAGCAGCAGGCCGCCCAGCAGGCCCAGCAGCGCCTGGCCCAGGGCGGCAAGGAGCCCCACTGCATCTATCCGGGCGATCTCTATCCGTACACGCGCAAGCCGCTCTTCGTCGTCGTCGACTCGGACAACAGCTTCGTGTTCCAGCAGATACCGCGACTGTTCAATCAGCCGCTGGTGGTGCTCATGTCGCCGCAGGACACGCCGCCGGGCCTGCGCGACCTCAAGCACGCCGGCAGCCTCTTCACCCTGTTCCTGCACTCGCCCCTGGCGGCCTTCTGCATGGTCTGCAGCGTCGACACTCTGCCCTACCATCACTGGGAGCGCTGCCTCAGATACATCGACCAGTTCGTCGTGGAGGCCTGCAGGCTCATGTTGCGAGCTCGATGCGGTAAGTCTGCTACTTGCGTACTCTACTTTTTCTTTTTCTTTCTCCGCAGCGAATTATACAGTCGACGAGGCGATCGAACTGTACCGAGAAATTTTCTCGCCCCCCAAAGAGTCGAGGGAATATTGCCCGGTGTAGCCGCGCGCGCGTTGAGTCCGCGCGTGGACGCGGTCATTTTTTGCGCTACATTTCTTTTCCGAGTATTCGGCGAATAGTTGGAAAAAAATTGTACGTCCTGTCGAACAAAAAGTTTCTTTGTCAGGGAGGACTCGTGCCACTATCGGCTTGACAAATATATTATTAGATGTCGAACGCGCCACATGTTACGAGGAAAAATCCTGTCGAAAATATCGAGCACCAGCAGCGAAGCGACGAAAAAAAAAATACCGACAAATTCAATCGTTCGTGTAAAAGCTTCTGGTGGAAAAAGGAAACACGTGTGCGCCTGGCTACATGCTGTCCAACAACAGCCGCATTGTTTTCATTATTAGGGACCCAAACTCGAAGCATACCGCGGATATTGCAATTAAATTGCCGTTGAAAAAAAATGTGAACAAAAAAAATCAAAAAAGAAACTGGGCGAAAGAATTGAACTTTAGCCGTACTCGCGCATATTATAAATAGAAAAAAATTGGTGACGCCGCGATTAGTCGCTTATCGAGCTTTCACGCAGTCTATATATATATGAAATATGCAGCGGTTTTTCGTGGAAGCTGTACAGGTCGCTGCTGCTGCTTCAAGTTGCCCAATCGGCCGTGTACACTCGTGTTCGTTACACAAAAACGAGTAGCTGTTTTTAAAAATAAAAAGCTGACCGCGCGATGACCACCGATGGAGGTGATGTGTGCTGCGCGCCCGCGCGCGGCACGTCGTAACGAGCTCTTTCTTCTCTCGCTTGTTTTTTTTTCTTTCTTTTTTTTTAGTCAGCCGCGCTCGGTAAAAGTTTGCTCGAAAGCTCGCTCGCTCGCGCGCGCGTCAGCCAGTTATAAAGTTTCAATTATCGAATCTCTCTGTCTCTGTCTCTCTCTTTCTCTCTCTCTCTCTCTCTCTTTCTGGCAGGATACGGTCGATATAACTCGGGGCCACTCTTGGCTCTTTGCACTCTTGTAACACGTGGTCGCGAATGCATATGATGGAGAGAAAAAAAACTCCACCGCATTTCGCGTAGACAAGGTACAGAGAGAGAGAGAGAGAGAGAGAGAGAGAGAGAGAGAGAGAGAGAGACGCGAGAAAGACGAGGTTTATTGGCTTTTTCGGCTCGAGAATCGAGAAAAGAGGTAAAAGGCTTGTGCTTTATTGAAGCCTATCGCGATTAATCGTTTGTGTTCTTTGCGCGCGAAAGCTTTATAAGAAGACCCGTTCGCCTTTAGCCCGAGCAAACAAGCCGCGATCATCACATAGCCACCGTAGCACCTTTCTTCATTCTTTTGTACACGTCCGCACAGAATCGAGCTTCGTTCAGTTCTTCGGTGACGACTTTCTGCGGCTGCTGCTGCTGCGCTACGTGTTCTGCGACGTGGTGCTGCACCTGCACCGCTCGTTCCGGGGCCGGCAGCAGAGGCCGCGCTGTCATCCGCCGCTGCCCGAGCCCGAGCTGCTCGAGCACCCGACGCTGCACCACCTCGTGCTCGAGCTGGCCAAGTGCCTCGACGCGCGAGATCACTTCGCCGACGGCAACGAGCTTGCCTGACCCCGGCGTTTGCCGGCTTCGGTCGACTTCGCTGATCAGCACTGGTGAGTGGCTAGAAGAGTCAAATTTTTCGTCTTATTCATATACTACCGATGTGACCTTTCGAGTTATGTATATCGTGGAAATTTTCGCGATTTCAGGGAACAACAGCAGCAGCATCGCGCCACACCGAAATCGCATCACTACGGGCCGGCCACTCGCGCAGGCGACTACGACTACGATTACGACTACGATTACTCGGGCTCCGGCTACAACTACAACAATAAGATGAACAGCCTGAGGCACTAATTGCCCGTCGTCACGTCTCCGCTTCATTATTATCAACAATAATGGCATGTACCATTTGGGATAATTGACAAAATAAGAAAAAAAGAAGATTATAATATACAATGTAGGAGTTCACAAAGTGCACCGAAGCGCGTAAAGTTTGTTAGAGTGAAGGTCGAGCGACGCAGGGCCGCGCCTCAATCATATTTTTCTACGCCATTTCAACACGTGTTTCGACTTTAGACGGGTGGGCTCCTTATTAAATGCGAGGACCTGATCTTGCCGCCTCGTGATGACAAGACTGCAGCGTTTCAACGTACACATACACACAACTACAAATGTACACTCATCACACACGGACGATGCCCGGCCTTGAGAGCTGATGTGCTTCGATTGATAATAAATAATTATTAAAAAAAAAAACTGTTACTTGTAATTGAGCCTGAATTGAATGAAAAAACGTACCGAGAGGTCCCATTCGCGGCCTGCTATATCGTACGAAGATCGCGAAAACTCGCTACTTGTGTCGGCTAATCTAAATTATAATGCTAAAAAAATACGGGCTGTTGCGTACCTTATATTCTGTCATATCGCCTGCATAAACACACTTATATATAAATTATACATATGTATCGAGTAAACAAATCAATGCCACTATACATTAACAAACAAAAATTGCATATACATAATATAAATATATAAATAATGTAAAGTCACCACAAGAAAACGTCCTCAATCTTTAAAGAGCTATATATTATATACGTACTTATGGCCTGGATGACGTTTATCGTGATCCAACTTTAAAACAAAGTACTATTATAAATACCCAAATCGAACAACATTGATGTGAACATTTTTTTCCAAAATCCTGGTTTCTTGCGTAACTTTCATATAGAAAATTTTAAAGTTTAACTTTATAATCATAATTATCATAGTAACTTTTATGATCAGTCTAAAAAATGAATATCTTTGATTTTCATTTTTATCAAAATACAGTTGATGTATTTTTGTCATAGTAAACAAATAAGCCCAACAAATGTAAGCCGTGGATCTCGAAATTTGCAGATACTTTATATTTCATTGTACGTATCCAGATCAAGTATTTACTTAGTACTCTGTGACTGGACTCGATCTCTATGAACGTGATCCAGGCCAAATATATCTATATACAGCAACGCACGGTGCACGTGTCAGTGTCATGACTATGAATTCACGCATACACATATATATTATATATATTTCTTTATTTAACGCTCACGTGCATTAGAAATTATATGTATACAAGAAAATTACAAATAAATTGAAATAATCATCGCGATTGTAAATATGCGACAACAGAACTCATATCTTTATTGAATTTGGACTGCGCGGTGTCTCAGCGAGGTGCCTATCTATAAATAGGAAAAAATTATGTGTACATTAAAACGCGATTAATACGCGAAAATTTGCAGTGCGGTTTTGTCTTTTCCTCATTATAGGAAAAAAATTAACTCGTGATGTGTATATGAGTAGAGCTTGCAGCGATATAATAGCACAACACTTTGATTGCTACTCTTTCGTACAAATAGCTAACACATATATTTCGATTGTTTGCGTTTTCAATCAATATAAAAAGAGAAGCGCACGCAGCCGGTGAGCTGTAAATTGATACGGAGTACAGAACGCGAAAGTTCGAAAGCGCGTCACAGCATTACGTTGAACAAGAGCTGCTAAATATCAATGTTCATCGCGTCTCCCTCTTGATGTAATCTATAGCTTCTTAATACGAGTGACAAAAAGAGCCGAGCAAAAAAAAGCTTTGGGATGATAAATCTCTATTTTCTGATACCGCTAAACAGTACGTAATTATAATTCCAAAGATAAACGGTGTTGTGAGTGCGATTGAATTTTTTTGGTATAATATACTGACTATTGGCCGCGTGCAGTATGGCTTGAGAGAGAATTTTGTGTATAAAAAATTACCGCATTAACTGCGTTGTGCAGCGTGAGATAAAAAGAGTCATGGTGTTTTTCGCAAATTGTAATATAACAATTGTAAAGTTTTTAAGCTATACATAAATATACATAACTAACATGAAGAAAACTGTATAACTTCTATACAAATCTTAGACTTTAGCTAGGAAAAAAAATTCAATTTACAAATATAATATATTAATAAGTATATGAAAACGATAAGACAATTTATGGACTATTAAAAAAGAGAGAATAAAAATAATGTTGTGAAATACTCACTATATTTAAGTTTCTTAACAAAAAAAAGCGAAGCGTCAAGTGTAATTATGAAGCTTATTGATATTCGCCACTTGGGTTGGGTTTGAAAACTATATAAATTCATTTTTACAAACGATCGACAAAATTTTTAATCATATTTTTCGTAGTCAATTTATACCTTGTATAAATGGACTCGTATCTCTCGATATATAAAGTATACGCTGCCCGGCTAACCAAAGATTTTTCAGCAGTTTCTCTGCCTCGTAGAGTACGAGACAAAAAAGTGATATATAAAATTCAAAACGCTCACTTATATTTCGTCCTACACCCCGTAACTATATCCACTGAAAATAATTTAATGCCTAATGATAACAATTTGTATTAAGTTAACTTTTTATACTTGAACCTTATAAAATACTTGAAAAATCTTCTATCTGGCCGAAGAGAATGTCATTAAGATACCAAATAACTAATTACAATTCACAATGATAAAGTTGTAAGTTTAAGAAAGTTGCATACCTAAAGCCTACGATTAACTCTATTGTTTTACAAGTTAGCCCCTACGATAAACCTTGTCATAATATAGTGCTAAATAAATGAGAAATATTTATCGGACGAAAAAAAAGAAAAGCCTTAACAAACAACTTCATATCTGCAGCCAAATCTGCAATTATCATCGAATAGAAGAAATAAATTCAAATAATAAACTCTATACTGCGTCTGTTTACAAGTAAATTATGTAATATTTATCAATACGCAATTGGGGTGAATCTTCAATGAAAAAGAGACTCGTAAAATTGTTCTCTTTGATCTATTTAGCGTGTGTGCGTGAGCGCTTGTGAATGTACTGTGATTTCCCTTTTTTACAATTTAGGCCTCGGGTATGGTCAGCTGATTGCAACTGGTGAATTCTATTATATGATACTATTGATTCTACTTTTACTGATAGTTATATGTTGAATCGTAAAATATATTGTTCATTTTATTCGCAAATTATTTTTACTCATTAAATCTTGTTTTGAAGCTCATTTATTTCAAAACTATTATATTAAAATCTTATAAACCCTACACTAATAAATTATTTCATCATAAAAGCCTTTATAAAATTAATTTTTAGGAGCGCCAAATAAAAAGCGAAAATTGAATGCCGGCACATTGATTAAACATCGATGCTATGTACTGGCTTTTGTTTCCTTTATCGGTGTAACCTTTTATGACAAAAATATAAAATATCGTTACACATATTTCGTTGAACATGAAGTATGATAATATTTGTCACTTATCTATTGTTTCACGATTTATTGAGTTACATGAAAAACGTCTAATTCTCCAAATTATTCCTTTTTGATCTCATTGAAAGAAGAAAGATTCCCAGATTACTTGAACGATAAGTCTGAGCGAATGAAAAGATTATATTGTTGATCGACTTGGAAGACTCTAGTAGTTTTCTACTTATAAATACGTTATGCATATATGATATATATATCTATATGAATCGAGCATATTGATCAGTGGCTCTCGGAGTCTTTTGTAACAAGAGAGGAAAAGTAAAAGAAAATGAATCAGCTAAATCGCTAAATATATTAATAGTTATGTACAATGATGTTACCATTCAGTGAACGGGGAAAGTGATGTACAATAGGACTTCCGAATGGTAGGGATGTGCTTTGGAGGCAAATGTGCGTAATTGAAAAGAGAAAAATGATGAAAAAATGTGTTGTTAGCGCGAGTATGTAAGGAGGTGAAAAAAAGCGCTTTACTATAACGTGTAAGTGCATAGGCATGCGGGGGAATCATGTTTTTCCACGTGGCTTAATTCGGTACGTGTGATAATTTATAATGAAACCTGTAAAAATAATTTTATACAAAATGACGACAAGACAAATCTATGAAAGCAAAAAATTTACTATAATATAATAATGCGAGTGTATATTGTGAAAGGCTACCCATGTTGCATATATGATAAAAATTTGCGAGCGCGATTATATTGCGCTCGAGCGTCTCGACTCGAGTGCATAATATATGATGTGTATATGCGTACACGAGCTAACGTTGAAAAAACGTGTATTCTCGCCTGCGAACGAATTAAACGCCGCTCCCACGAACTTGTGCGAAAAATGTTGAATTATATAAGCTCTGTGTTAAATGAATAAAAAAAACGTCATGCTCTTTTTGAGAAAAAATAACTATAGACCGTCATTTGGCTCTATTTCCATCCCTCAACATTCAAAAATTGACAATATAAAATTTTTCAAAAGTACTTTATTCCAGTATAGATTATATGCATCTCAGGTTTGGGGGTCAACAATTACTTTAAGCTTCCCTTCTTATTTGGGGTGTAAATGGCTCGAATGAGATAAATAAGCTGAGAGATCTACATTACCAACGCAGGCAAAGTATAATAACTGCTGATATCTGAAACTCGAGTCGTGGCAGGTTGAGCACGTTGCATATATTTATAATATGAGCAAAAAGTGGAGCAGCACCTCTGACGTCGACGTCATCGCGGCAACGGTAGGTATATACCGAGAGATGATCAAACGCATGCTGACGTCGATTTTTGGGTGGAAATTATGCTCGCTTGCTCTTGCTCGCTTTTCAGTTCGCGAAAAATACCTCCTCTGGATGCGAGAGCTTAAGAGCGAGCTATAAAACATAGAAAAGCTCCGACATGCGCACAAGCTCTATATATACACCTGCTGCTGCTGCTAGTTTTCTGTGGCCGTACTCATGAATCGGCCTCGTTTTTCGTAAAATTTTCTCGCTGTTTGCCGTTGCCAACGATTCTCTTCACGAAAAGATAATATCACCTTGTTTATATCTTTATCTCGCTGCCCTGATTATTTTCCGATATTTGCATTTTGATACTCTTGTTCGTGCTAAAGCTGTTCACAAAACTTTTGTTAAAAGCAAATGCACCCGTGACTTATTTTTAAATCGAATAATAATTAAGATGTAGTTATGCTTTCCATAACGAGTTTAAATTGTATTTCGATTTTCAATTCATGCAGTACAGTGGGATGATTGATTCGAAAATTCTTTTGAGTTCCGAATTTTTGATTTCTCTTTGAAAGATATTTTTTTGTCAACGAAATTTATTTTTTAGTACTCTGGTAGAATTACTTGATACGTTTATGGCTAACTTTCGGCTAACGAAAAAGTTTCGTGGACATGCAAGGGTCACAATTATAATAGTGATTTTTAATTTTCTCCGTTTGAAATGTAAAACTACCAAGAAATAAAAAGGGTTCACTTCAAAACAGCAGATCACATCATTATCCAAAACTGTGCTTCAACTTAAACAATTAGTCTGACTTTGCCACTTGCAGATTTATAGACAGAGGTACTTGCCATCTAGAAGTGAAGGCTTAAAGTAATATCATTCCATGTAAATGATTGAAAAATCTGGTCTAATTTTTATGGAAACAAGGTCCTGGGCTAATGCGAGGCAGTGGGGAGGAGGAATAGTAAAATCTCTCCTGCGCACGGGGTACATAATCTCCTGCAGGCTTTCTCAGGAAAGAACGACATTTCAATTTATACTCGAAAGACCCTGCTTCAACTTAAACCATTATTTTTACTTTACCATTTGCAGATTCACAGATCGCCATCTAGTAATGGATAATCAAAGTGGTATTATCTCATGTAAATTTGAAACGTATAACTTGTACTACGGTAATTATATTGAATTTGTTTAATCAAATTTAAAATCATTATTGTTAACTGTACTCAGAAACATGTATGCGGTAATGGACTTAGTTATGTCGCATTTATTTAAGATTTATTGAAATAATGATTCATTGGAAAATTTATTGAAATAGTATCTGTTATAAAACTATACTTTGAATACAAATAAACACTTTCAGATTTTTAGAGCATTCGATATCTATTGATCGAGGTTTGAAATGGTATTACCATAGAATTTATACTATCTATAATTATAAGTAAGTTTTGTCCAAGAAACTTATATGAGAACTCATTGAATATTTTTATTAGAGTTAATACAATTGCAATAATTATTTTTAATATTTACATTTGAAATATTCAAGATCCATTGGATTGATTTTGTTATTTGGAGTGCTAACATTCAGAAAATTATCATTAATTGTACTCAGATCCTCTTACGTAAAAATGAATTTTATTACACGATACATTTTTCTCAAGTTTTATTTACTCAAACAATTACTATTACTTACTCAAAAACTTTGCTTTGACTTATACAATTATCTTGACTTTGTCACTTGCAGATTAACAGATGGAAGTACTCGCCATCTAGCAGTGAAAGCTTAGTTTAATAGTGAAAAATGGAAGTAATTGAAAATTGGTCAACATTTTTTCAAACAGTCACATTGTTCAGGCCATTTTAAAAGCGTTTAATACTTGTGACATAATTTTAAAAAAAATAGTCAAAAACAAACCAATTAATGGTAATGCATTTGAAATCATTTTAAATTGTTATTTTTTGGTCATTTCTAGTGAATTCATACCAGCGATCCGAAAGTGATCCAGTGTCCCTGTCGCTGCGCAAATCGGGAAATGCTATTTTTGGGCCGTACTACGGAAATTGGTATACAAGCCTAAGGTAATCGGATTCGCCTTGGCAAATAATTACATATTCCCTGAGACTTTTCTTTTGTCGCGGCCTAGGGCAATAAGATAAATACTATTTCAATGGCAGAAGTAAATTTGATAACAAACCGTATAATAGCAATTGAATATTTTCAGATCGTCACGATAAAAGTGTTTCAAGCGAGTGAGCAAGCTAATGAGCCAAAAATGCCTTTACAGATAGCGATCTACAAACGGCAATCTGCATACACAATGTTTCAAGTACAGTAAGCTAGCTACCCAATGAATCGCGCGCTCGTGTATAGCAAAAACAGCCAGTGTCAACACTGCCGCGCGTTTCGAATTTACACCTCGCTTCGCCAGATCTCTCTAGGTATAATAAAGTTTTTGCGCGCCTGAGATCTTGAAAAGACGCATAGGCACACACACACACACACACAAAGACTCGAGCTCATCTGGGCTTTAACGAGAAAGAGAGACAGAGAGATAACCCTGCGCATATAGTTGCAATATGAGTTGCGAGCGAAGATACGCGTTGCGAGCTCGCAGATCGAGAAACGCGAGTTACGATCGCGCGCGCCGCGGTCAGTGGCGCAGTGCCGTTGTAGTTGTCTCTCTTCGAGTCGAGCGCGGAGAGAGAGAGAGAGAGAGTCGCTCGCCGTCGACGCGACCTTGCCTAAAAGCTTACTCAAGGCCGCGACGCGCCGAACTTCTCTCTCGCTCGTTTCCCGCGTATTTCCCATCCCCGTATGATATAAACGAACCCTGCGAACCCTGCGAACCCCGTCTGGATGGGGTCCAACGTGATCCAGACATCGCCGAGTGCTATCGAAGTTTTGCGAAGATCGCCGTGCAGAAAAATGTCAGTTTAGTGTTAGATTGTGATTCGATTATTTTCCACGATCGTCAGAGTGAAAAGTGTCGATTTGATAGAAAAGAAAAGCTTGATAAAGTGTGCCGAATTCGAGTTGTAGTGAGTGCGAATCATCACCATCAAATCGTTGTCGATCGTTCGCAAATTGTTTTACACAGCGCCGACGTCTGTCTGCAGATCACCAATGTCATGGAGTTTTTCGTGGCTACTTTCGCATAATCACTCGCGATTCGCGGACGTATGGCAATTAGGTTTATGTAAAATACAATAACACGAGAATAAAGCGGAGCCAGTGATCGAATCGCATAATATAGCCGCGTAGTATGAGCGTATAGCTGCTTCTGTGTATCGTCTGTGTGTGTAGGCGCGCGGAGGACAGCCAATTGTTCAAGGCCAGTCGCGCGTACACGTATAGACGACGTTTTCACGATTTTACTTTTTGCTCTCTGCATTTATTCAAATATTATTATATCGCATGGAGCGACATTATTTATTTTCTTTTACATAACGTGTATATAATGCAGTCGGTCGGGCGCAGTGCTTGATATCGACGTTCCACGAGAGAGAGAGGCCGCCCGAGCGTGTGGGACGTGCACTATACCTTCCGCAGCGAATGGAAAGCATGTCGAACGAAATTGATAAGATCGGGTATTGGTTTGTTTGCTGTTTAGTGACCGGTTAGTACGGAGCTATGTATACTTGTGTCGATAGTACAAAGTTGCTCTCGCTATTTGGAAAAGCATCTGTCAGACGTTTAAAAATAGCGAACGATAATTGGCTATCGATTACGGCATGCAATTGTGATCTATTCTTGTTGCTATTGGCAGGTCTTTAAATTTCCGTGCAGCCATATTTTTACCGAGCGAGCCTCGAGTTCGTCTTTGTTTTGAGGCTGTGAATCGGCCTTTCGGTCTTTTTTTTTTATTCGCTTCGACCAGCATCGGTTCTATGATTTTCATATCGTGTGGAAAACGCCGTTCCGGCCGAACGAGCCGCGTGCAATATGTGGCCTCCATGTCGCCGCCACCACCGAACGCATTCGAAAACACAATTGCGGAGCAGCAGCATTCGAGAAGTCGATCGGTTGCACGTGCTTGGGCAAGCGTGGCGTGTGCCGCGCAGAAAAGCGACTTTCGATTGCGAAATCGGCGCCAACGCGCGCGCGCGCATCGATGTCAAATAGACCGAAATCGTGTGCCTCTTGTAGTTTGTTTTTTGTTTCGGACGATAGCTTATTCATGCTTATCGAGGTGACTTTTTTTGTCCACTTTGTACACAGTTTGATGAAACGCCGCCGCGTCAGCTTGTTGCAATTGACTATCATAGTATCACACTTGTTTACAATTGTCATTTTCAAGTCGGCGAAATCATTATAAGCGAAGACGACAAAAACGAGTCCGCGACGAGCACGAAAAATGTATAACCCGAGCCTTGAAATTGCGATGCTGCAGGTGACTGTCTGTGCCTCGAGGAGCGACAGGAGGATGCCAACGAAGGAAGACGTCGAGTGGAGTAGTCGCGGCGCCGAAAATACATTTTTAGACGGTAAGTGCAAGAGATTTGAAGTAGCTCGAGCCCGGCTCAACATCGAAATCAGCAGCGGCGGCGGCACGCATCCAGCAGCAGCTGCACCGCATATTGGAAGCCTAAGCTATACACATATATAGCAGGCTCGGGTGGTGGGAGCGAGAATATATAGAATAAAATATATACGATGGAGCAAACGCGCGGGCGTACGAACGGCGCGGCTCCGACGGCGAGTCCGCTGCGGCGTAGTCTGTCGGCGACGACGACGTCGGGCGCCACCGCCGCCAAGACTCCGGAGGTGCGCTGCGCCTGCCAGTACTTCGGGAGCTACTCGCTGCTGCCGGAGCGAAGCGCGCTTCTGGCGGCCAACAAGAGGCCCCCGCCTCACCTCGCCAACGTCAAATCCGCTTCTACTGCCGCAGCAGCGTACGCCAACAACAGGCGGCCCGCGGCAGCAGCCGGCGGCAGAACCGTGTGGCAGAGACCGGCAGCCGGTAACAACAATAGACAGCAGCAGCAGCAGCAGCAGCTCACGCAGTCGCGGCCCAACGGTGCCGCAATGGGGTGAGTTGTTCTACTACATGAACGATATAACAGAGGGGGTGGTTCGCCTGCGCGCCCCAACTCGACGCCGCGTCGTCGTATCGATCACACCCGCCGCACACCCTATTCTCTCGCGTCGCTGCTGCGTGCTGGCCGCACAGTCCGACGATATGCTCAGCCGCGAGAAGAGGGTTACGTTCAGATTGCGGTAAGGGTAGTAGTCGTCGTCGTCGTCGCGAACGAGCAATGGCCTCTTGATAGTTGTATCTCGTGCAGGCGTCAAAGATATATATTCGCGCTGGTGCTCTGCGGCCGTGCCAAGTTTATATACCTACATCGATAGCGGCCCTCTTCGATCCTCCGCCCGCAGCGGTGATTTCGACGAATTGTAACGAATCGTTTGCGCGGCTGCACCCCCGCGACCGCTGCCGACGACGCCGCCGCTGTAAGCACACATACGCTCGGGGTGTGTCGATAAATATAAATCGTTCCGCATCGCAGTTATGTAAGTCGCGCTACTGTATGATACGCGTTTAACACGAATACTCGCAAGTATGGAGCATTACGGAGCAACAGCAGCTAGTGGCAATTCCACCGCTCGATCGTCGTCGTCGTCGTCGTGCATCTCTGCCGACTATTTTCGTGCGTCAAGCTCGTCGTCATTCTTTTGCTTTTCGAGCCTAATTCGCGACTTTGCTTTTAGCACTCCACTCGGTACGTACTTTGCTTCTTTTTTTCTTTTCTCTCTGTGTATGTCTCTCTCTCTCTCTCTCTGTTCCTCTCTCTTGTATACGCACGCACTACATATAACTCATGCATGCGCTCGCAGTCCAGCAGTGTTTCAGCTCGTACATCTATATTTACGTATGTCGCGCGGCAAAGAGTGCTACAGTACACGTTCTCCTCTCTGCTGGCAGCTACTACTACTACTCGTTCTTTTGTACTTGGCTTTTGTGGAAAATTTACGTCGCTATGTTCTCGGCCTCTCTTCCAATCCTTCCAACTATGTATATATGTGTGTACGTGTGTTTGCGCTTATAATACAGAGTCTCGACTTTGCGCTAGGGGAGCTTGCAAGCGCCGTATAGTATAGGTCTAGGCATACGTGCACACCGACACACAACAGCTCCGCCAACAGATCGATCGTCGTCGTCGTGTACATCGCCTTGCGCGCGCGAAAGAGCTTAGATATTCCTCGAGATTTGCAGTATAGGTGATTGAACCTCGTGGTGGTGGTCGCTTTGCACCAAAGTAACAGCAGCTAGGCATTAACGCCGCAGCGCGAGCATAGTTATGTACTAACGCGCTTGGGCACGCAAAGCTTTTCAGCGAAATAATGTAATGCGGCATAGATGGCTGCGCTATATGCATGTCAGTACTCATTACTCATTGACGTATATCGTATACACTTTTAATGAGAAACGTACCACTGCAAGTACGTTTTAGAAAATTTCGACTGTTGGTGAACACTTCAATAAGCACAGCTATAGAGAGTTTTGTTTTTGGCGATATTTATGTTTTTTCGCCCATCTCGACTAATCCGTGTCAGACGAGCTTTTACCTACTTTTCGTTTGGAGGAGCAGCAGCAACACGTTCGACTATATTTTCTTTGCGAAAAACGTAGTATATTTTTTCGACGTTCCGACGATGTTTCCATTGAGCCACTAAATGAAAGCTCCCGTGAGCTCAACTGTCAGGACGCGACGACGGTTGACGAGCGATCATCGACGTCGCAGCTTGCGCATCACCTTCGTGCGATTCTTCTCTTTTCTTCCATGTGGCGCATCGTCATCTCTGCCGCATATACCGTCGTGTACAGCAACGATCTATTTTCACCTCTTTCTCTCTGCCTCGCAATAGTAGTAGTAGTAGAGAATATAAGTCGAAAAACAAAAGCGACTGCAGTAGTTCGTTTTTCTCTTGCTAATTTGTTATGCGTTGCGTGTGTGTATGTGTATAGGAGTCGGACAGGCATGTGCTGGCTAGTTTAAAATTAAAGGCTCTCGAGAGAGAATCTCCGCACACGAGTGCGAGTTCACGGCCGCGGAGTCTCGGAACAGTACATATGCGTGCATAGGAAAATGCCGAGCGAGTCGTTTGCCTTATAGGCGCCTTTTTTCACCCGGATTCTCATCGTCTCTCTGCTGTTACTGCTGCACAGCGCGAAGAGAGGTGTATATGCAGCCCCAATGAGAGACGACACGTACGTTGACCATCTATTTAAGGCCCGTAGACTAGAGCTACACGTCTATCTATAGAACCTCGTCGCGGTGAACTATGTGTTCGTATACGGCCGATGTGTGATTATACGGCGCACACCGGTACCTACGAGCTGCGGCCGTTGTCGACTGCAGTAGTGTCGCGATGGATACGCTCGAGCGCACTTCGATCGGCCGAATTTGACCCCAAACACGGTTGCAGTTTGTTCATTCGACCAACGCCGACCCCTGACCCCGCGTCGTTAAAGTTTTTCGTGGCAATTGATATCGAATCGCGAGGAATTATGAAGAACAAGCTGCACATCGTCGCCAGTGTCGAGGAAGAGAAATTAGCCGCGAATCGTCATGCGTAAAGTTTCATCTCGACTTATATACGCGCGATATTAGAGATTTTTCTGCGCTTGCGGCCGTAGTGAAACTAACTCTCTCTGTGCCTACCGCTTTTGCAACACTCGACGCAGCTATATATCTACCAATCGGCTATTTTTTCTGCTGACAATAAGTGTTGTTGTTGTTGTTGTTGTTATTGTTATTGTTGTCGTTGTGATCGTTCATTATTACTTTACTTTATACAATTTATCACCTTTGTTGATCATTCGATGAAGTATGCTTTTATATTTTTTACTAATTTTTATTTTATTTTTAAGAAGCTCCGTGTGTTATTTTTATAAGGCATTAAATTAAGTTATTGTTTAATTTTTATTATTTGTGTACCAATAATGTTCTCAGGTATAGCAAACATTTTATTGGTACACAGCTTGAGAATCAGTTTCATAAATCAGTTGAACTTAATTGAAACCAAGCCACACTGCGATCGCGCGCACGTATGCAATATCCAGATGCACGAGAAACGGGAGCGAAAATATATTAGCACCGTGGCGCAAATAACTTGAAAACATCCGTTCGAAATTAGCGCTCCTCATATCTGACCGAGTTGAAAAAGATGATACTATTTTGCTATTGGAATTTTTTTCAGACCGTACAAACGAATTTCATTTCGGAATTGATCATTTTTTAAATGGATATTTTAAAATTAATGTAGAATTTCAACTTTTCTTGACATAGTCCATACGTCCTTATAGCGGCTTTCATTCGATTGACGTTGAATGATGAATCAAAAATAATCATCTAGACATTTTAGATCCATGGCAAATGTTATTGTTACACGCTAGACAGATCTCGTGTTTATTTTTCAAAGTTGAAAATAAAACAGAAACGAAACATCAAAGGAGGTTTATAACGTAGTTTTATAATTCGCATTTGCTTGTCAATCGATCGGTAGTCAACTTTATTTTAAATAAATCGGGATTTCGCGTTCTGACCGATCCTTAAGTTCAATGCCAATTTCCAAAATAGATATAATTTATAGATTTGCTATGATTAGAGCTCCGACGCTTAAAATGTATTCTTACACAAATTTTACGTAAAAAAAGTGAGCGTAAAAATTAATCGAGAAATCCTCGTGCTTTGCTTATTTTTTGATCGACAGCGATAACGAGTATGAGCCGGTCGGTCAGCCGGTGGTGCGGCTGGCGCTCTCGTCGAGCACGGTGGCGGTCCGCATGGTCGCCCCCGTGGTCAAGATCACCGACACGGCCGTCGCGGACAGCGACGACAGCATCGAGGACCGCTACCGTTTTCAGCAGCGGGCCCTCATACTCGACGGCGACGTGATCGTGCCGCTGGACGGCAGCATCGAGGACAACGCCATGGCTGGAAAAAATCTGGGCGACCAGACGATCGACACTTTGGGGGACGACGAGGAGCTGTCGTCCGCGTCGTCGTCGCGACCGCCGATCAGTGGAGCGCACAGACAGCACAACTTCGAGTTGGCTGCGGCTATCAAGGAAGCCAGACAGGAGGCCGAAACGAGAAAGCAAAGTTTGGTAAGAAAGCTATTGTAATCATTATTATTGCAACGAGAAAAAAAAACACGAAATATCGTTAACACTTGCCTTGCTCTTATTTATTTTGTTCGAGAACGAGCTCGGAATCGCTGACTAGCAATTGGTTTTGTTTTATTGCATCTTTCAGTTTGAGCATAGAACAAACTATTCTTAGAAACAGATAGCAAATTAAAGAGCTTTTCATCGAAAGCTTCAAGTAACAGCAAATAAACTATTAATATTGAACTAGCATAGCTTTTTACTTTGTTAAAAGTAAAATAAAAATTTTGGTAGTACAATTGTGTAGTTACAGTTTACACAAGTTAAAATTTGTAATTAGAATATATCCTTTGACTTATAGAGTTAATTTTACTTAACCACTTGCGGATTTACTGATAAAGGTACTTGCCACCTAGCGGTGGAGGCTTGAAGTGGTATTATCATGTTCAAAATTGTTGAAAACTGTTCGAAATTTTTTGAAACAACTAACTTGTCATTTTTAAATCATTTAAAATGCACTTAATATTTTCAACATGAATGTTCAAATTATTAACAGAAAAATCACCAAAAAATAATCCAACTCGCGGTCACGTATAAAATATTTTAATTTGGCATTTTTTAAATGGTTATTCACACGCACTTATTTAAAATTTTTAGTTGTCCACAACATCAAAGTGATGCAAGTAACTTTTGTGAATTTATAGATCGACGAAGCAGCAGCAGCCAATGTTGAATCTCCCCTTCGCCGAGGCGCCCGCGACTTCCAGCAAAGACTGAAAAATCAAGCCGGTCGAATACACTCGAGACTCAGCAGCATCCAGAAGCCGACGTTCGGCAGACGAGCGAAAACGCCGACCATGGCCAAGCCCATGAAACCCAAGCCAAAGACAATGACCGTCCCACCCTCGCCCAGAGCCGAGCAAAAAGCCAGCCGCTTGGAACGCTTTCGAATGGCCCTGCCGGAACGCCCGAAATTTCACCTGCCTGACAAATCGAAATTTCACCTGCCCGACAAATCCAAATTCCACCTACCGGAGAGGCCGAAATTTAATCTTCCCGACCGTCCAAAGTTCAACATGCCCGATACTACGAAGTTGAGGAGCCACCTGAAGAAGCCAAATATCCAGATGCCAAAATCGTTCAATCGCGTCAGACGCAGTGCGTCGCAGCGCGTCACAAGGGTAAGTATAATTGGAAAAGTGTATCGGTGCGCACTTGGCACGTCGATACTAATCAGTCAGAATTTGGAACGTACACAGACTCAAGAGAGCGTCGAAACGGCTGCCGTCGCCGCCGAGGAAGGAGCTCAGCAACGTCGGAGCATCTTCGACTTCTCGACCTATCCTCGGCCGAAAATTTTCGAACGCAAAGCCAAAGCCAAGGCCAGCGGCGAGGAGTTCGCCACCTCGTCGCCCAAGGAGTCTCGCGCGCAGTCGACCGAGTCCTGGTCGACGTTTCCGCGAGTGAAGAAGGCCGGCCAGTCTCTGGTGGCTCGCTGGTCCCAGCGCTTCGGGGACACGGCCCCGCAGCATCACTTCCCCGAGCCCGAGGGCAGCGTGGATCGCTCGAGGCCCTGGCGACATCCGTCCCTGGAGGAGCCGAGGCTGTCGCTGAAGCCGCAGACATCGCAGGACGACGAGCAGATGCCCTGGGAGACGGCCTCGAGGAAGAACTACGACCTGGAGGAGGCGAGCGTGCCGCTCGAGGAGGACGAGGACCGATCCTACGGAGCCAGCTTAAAGGTGGTACATACATGTTAAAATCTCTTGGGAATAATAGTCTTTCGTAATCTGCCGTAATCTGCTTGATGTTCTTTTTTTTTATACCGCTATCTTGCACGATTTACTTTTTTTGTTTATTATTATTATCAAAGTGGGCTAGTGCTGGAAATGGGCATGTAGGTATTGTGATTTAATTTTTCATTTGGATTTCACTTTTTAAAAATGTTTAAGTTATTTAAATTTTATTATTATTATTATTATTATTATTATTATTACTACTACTCTTTTATTATTTCTATATTATTATTTCCATTACAAATTGTGTCATGTAAATTTGTTATTCATTATGGTGATGGCTAATCATGTTATTATTATATTTAATAGGCGTTGGATTTTGTTTAATTTTAATAATGGAATATGCAGGAGGCGACTCGAGACTAAAAACACTTCTCCACCATTTTCCGTGTTGTTTAGCGCAGTGATTTGTACATTTGTAATGATTATTCCTGCTTTATTTATTGAGTATATGTAACTACTACTTCTATTACTTACTACTATGATTACACTTTATATATGCAGATATATTACAACTACAACTACAAAAAAAAACGGTGATGAGACATTTGTTGCACGTTTTTTTTCACTTATCATGCACTGATGCGTACTATATATATAATTGGTTGAAGGGTTTGTTTTCTGTTCATGGAAGCGAATGACTTAGCTAAAACAATATATTTGCGGAATGTTATATACCATCTGTTGTTTATTGGCATTTGTTGGCACCATTTATAATAACCAAAATCAATTCATGGCAATGGCAAAATTGTGTTGCATTTATCCCGCAAGGACGACGTTGTTTCCGGAAATATCATTATGCTGTTTGTGCCGGTATTGTGTCAGTATTGTGTTTAGATGCAGATATACATTATTATACTCACCAGAGTAAATAACCATTTTGGAATGTTCGAACTATTTTTTCTATATGCTTTGCATCTTTCTCAGTGATCCTTCACCATTGATAAATAATATAGCTACATTTTCTGTCATGAATATTACATTGCTGTGATATACAACTAGAGTATATACAAATATATAAATATATATAATATCTATATATTTTTCTGTAATGTCCGCCTTTTTGATACGTACCTATTTTATAGAATGAAGGCTGCAGTGTGTGATGTTCTTTATATATACATATTTTATTACTATTCTAGAGGCTGTGATATTGTTATAACTTTTTCACGTAACTAATAGAGCTATATATATAAATTGGACCTGTTGTCTCTTGTATAAACAATTGTTATTATTATTCACTTTGTAATCCATGCAAGTTTCTTCTCATATCATGCGTGGCATAAAACAAAAAAAAAACAAGCTTTACTCCCGAATGTTAAACAAAATAAAAAAAAAACCAAAATCTTTCATGCACGTTTTTAGTTGCACCGATTGATTGACCGATTGATCGCCCGGGGTTTTTTCGTAAATTGACTTGTACAGTTGAGAATCATCCTAGAAGGCAAGAACAAACTAATACAACTTAGATATTTTGCATAAGCGAATGTGCTAGATTTTATATCTATATATGCATTGAAAAAATATATATATATATACACACGTACGCGTATATATAAATTTATATATAGATAGAAAAACATTTGATGAATTTTGATTCATATTGCTGTGTTGCTGATATATATCACGAAGTATCCAAATAGAGGCCGCATATTTGACGATTTAGTGTTTTGGAATAACATTATATTGTGCATCACTTTTAGGCTGTAAAAAATAATAAAACGCAACCGCAAAACGTAAGCCGAGCGAGACTCATATGGTCGAGATGTTGAACTTTGATTAATTATTATGGCTGTTGAGAATTTGCATCCAAGTTTCTTCTCTCATTTTATTATCACGCAAGATCGACAAACCTGGCTTGGAATGATACATCATCGTTTAATGATTATTATGTACTTGCACGTTATTGGAATTTTGCACCTGCATACGAAAACATAAATAATAATACTATCAATGGTTGAGGGTTTTTCTTTAATTGTTGGTAACATTACATTAGATACGTCATAATGTATACCCAGCATTGTTGATTGAGCATATTCTCCACTAGATCAGTATTATTGAAGTATCTAATAAAATGCAAGAGTATGTACAAAAAAAAACAACAAAGTTTTAATAACAAAGTAAGCACCAAAACAGTTTGTTGATCCACGCAAGTGTGTAGTAGCAAATCAGTCAATAACAATTGGGAATGCTCGTCAATAAAAAAAAAAATAATAGTCTCATTACCGCATTTACAAAATCTAGGCAATTTGTGCAGATATCCAACTCTCCATGTACAAACCGCTCTTGTGAATGTTTTTTTCTCACTTTGCCTCTCTACTCGCAATTGCAACAATTATTTCTGGTGATACTTTTTTGTATGTTTATAATTAATATAATACCATAGAATGAACTTTCTATACTATCGCCTCTCTGTATATAATAAATAATTATATATATAACATATGTGACAATTTGGCAGTGATTAGATATGCGACATGCAGCAGTTATCGTACTTTTACAATATATATCATAGCTTAGGCACGACTTTTTTTTCTTACTCTCAGTGTTAATTCCGTAATATTATACGTAAAACATAATATGTCCGCTTCTGTATATTTTTCAAAATTCGTGCAATAAACAACAAAATATATTGTTCATCATGCATATAATATCTCTTGCACTATTTACAAATATATATATTCGTTGAATTGCCTAATAGATTGTTGACATGCGAACTCTTTTGATAATTCTGTATAACAACGCTACATTTTGTTATATCCACGTAAAAAATAATCATGTATGGCGGCATCTTTTATTCTGTTTTTTTTTTTGGTATAATTATGTGCAAGGCTGTTTACCAAAGTGATACATATATATTTAGAGGAGTGAATAACACAAGTAAAAGGACTTGAACTCTAGACTTTTTTTTGGCAGTGCACGTTTATGTATACATGCAGATATATAACATCTATACATATACATATATTACGACTTGACGCATAAGCTATTATAATATATGCATATATATACATTTATATATGTATTTGTTATGAGTTTAGTGCTAGGTGGCGTTTTTTCGTGTATATAATATAGAATGCAGCATCTTCCTGCGCAAACTAAATTATAATTCACTATATATTATACATAGTTTGATTCCGTCGTTGACCATAATTTTGATTACTAGCCTTTTTCCTTGAATATTATACTTTTATACATTTAATACATATAATAGCTGAAGTACCAATTTTTCAAGCTCTTTGTCACCCGCAATCTGCCTTTATTACATTATTCTTACACTATTGTTACATAAATATATATTGCATAACTACATTAAAAAAAAATTGCGTGATCCATAAGACACGCAATTCCAGTGTGCACGTTCATATATTTTTGTAAAAGTTTAATATTGTGTATACCCAAAAAATCATTGCATTGCGAATGACCGAGGAATCTTTAAACTCATCGAAAAAGCCGACAGGCTTCGAGCACTTTGAAGAATAATAGATAATATCCATATTTTGAGAAGACCTACACGCAGTATTTTGATAAAAACTAGAAAATAATTATGACCAAAGGAATGTCTGTGAATAACAAAACGAAACTTTCTAGAATCTGTAATAGTTGTGTTTTTTTATCGAGTTTTTCCATTTGCATCTTGTGCAACATGAGAGTGATGAGATATTAATACTGACTTGCCAGTGATATACTTTAGGATAAATTAACTGTTATTTGCCGTCTGAGTATGTAAAATAAAATAAAAAATGAAATAAAAAAATAGAGCGAGATTCGCAATGTGCACGATATATAATTCAATTGATTAATTAATTAAATATATATAGCTTGCGACTAATCGCAGGCAGATGACGGCAGATTGCCAAGGGCTTTTTTCTGACGGATTTTAACATGTATGTACCCCTCAGGATCCAGAGTTGAGCTACGGCAAGGCGCCCGTCCGGGACCCGGGGGCGCGCGACATCGCCGTGCAGAGAGCCAGAAGCCACGAGGAGCGGGGCCCGGCCGACAACACGGTGAGTGCGATATCTATATCCTATTATGCTCGAGCTTCTCCATTGCGTGTGTATAAATTGGTGCCGAAATTTTGTTTACATCGCGTCCAAGCAGCGACTTATCACTATAGGAGTTATTCAGTATCATTGAATCGTGGAAAGAGGCCGGACGAATAACAAGCCGCCGAGGATCGCGAATTATTTCGGATTCTTCGCGTATAATCTCGAATAGACTTTTACCGTAGCGAATATTCTTTTAAGTTAAATTTGATTATTTATAATTCGGTATAATAAAAATCATGAAATTCATAAAGAAAATATTACTCATAATCAGAGTGAGCTTCGATAAATTAGAAAATGTAATCGTGATCGATTTAATGTTTAAAACTCACAAATCGAATTTTTGCTTTGTTCCACAGAAGGACAGCTCGGCGTTTCACCTGAAGAGCCTGTACGATGGCTCGTTCCCGGCCGTGGACCCGCGAGACTTTGGAATTCAGCACATCGACGACTCGATCGAGCACTCGGAGGACGAGGAGTCGATGCGCTCGGACCGGGAGATCCAGCAGTCGAGCGGCAGCTCGTGCGAGCGTCGCCGTCGCGGCGTCATCGAGGAGATCGGCTCGGACGAGTTTTTCCTGCGCGCCAAGGGCATCAGCCAGGAAAACATGAGATTCCAGCTGATCGACGAGATCAGGTAAGTGCGCATAAAGAAATAGAATGAGCCCCTTGCGAGTTGGTGAAAAAAAAAGAATTACAAAACGAGTCCCTTGCTGCTGAATTTAAATACCTCGTACTGTGTACGCGTTTCTACTCCCCTCTTCGAATCACCCCTCGAAAAGTAGCTACGTAACCACCCTGTAGGCACACTACAGCTGATTCAGCGGGTATCTTATATTCTCGACTCGTTTTTTTTTTCACTCGACGCTCGCGCAGAGATGCCATCCGACCTCGCAACAACGCCACCGCTGCCGTCCAAGACAGTCCACCCAAGCGTCCTCAGCGTCGCAAGCGCAAGGAGGAGTCCGTCGAGTCGTTCGGCGAGTCGTCCATCGGCGCCGACAGCAAAGCCCCTCAGGCGCCCAAGCGAGATCACAGCTCGCTGCAGCGCAGCCCCGAGTCGTTCCGGCGACGCAGCTCCATCGAGCGGGCCAGCAGTCTGCAGGCGACCCATCGCGTAGTCTATCAGACCGAGTCGACGCCGAGCAAGGACTCGGACACGACGAGGATGCCGAGCGAACCCGCCCTCGACGATCTGGTGGTGATCAAGCCGCAGCGCAGAAAGTCCAGGACGTCGCTGAGGAGCTCGAGCCTGCTGCCCGAGGAGCAGAACATCATGTTCGTGTCGATGGAGGGCTCGAGCGCCGCCGAAGAACTGGCGGAGCAGAAGCCCAGCCCCATGGCGCCCAGCAGAAGGAAGAGATTCCGTACGAGCCACCAGTCGTCTAGTCTCAGGTGAGCGCGTGACTCTTTCGAAACTGATGGGCGATTTTCTAAAACCATATTTTCACACAATTATTATTTTATTTTATATTAAATGCACAATAACGCAGATCCCCGCTAGCTATTCCCGAGAAAGCGTCTTTGGAAACAATGCCGTCGGCTTCTTCGCGCGTCATGATTATCAATTAGTAATGTATTTTATAAAATGATGGCTTCTTGAACCTTGTATTAATTATGGTAACTAAACAATCAGTGTATCTCGACTTTCCAATCGATCTTCAATGTTTTTAACAATTAATTAAATGTCTCACGTTTATACATTTTCGAGCCATTCAATTTGTTTCAAGTCCTTTATTTGTAACTCCGATCAATTATCTACGGTACTATTTTTGCAAACAATATCTTGAACATCTTTTTATCGCTCAGCATAAGGACCAACGACAGCAATCTCTGCAACGGCTATCCCGACAACGCGTCGCCCCACCAATCCGTCGACAAAATCCCTCCAACGCCACCGCCGAGTCCTCCGCCGAACGGCAACGAAAGGAATCGTCAAAGTCGTGCCATCGACGAGCTGGATTACATCGAACGATCGCTCGAGGAGCAGCCCACCACGAGACGAGCCGCCGCCACCGTCGCAGGCACCCCGATCCCGCCGAAACGAACGCGCTCTCGAACCGCCTCGATGATCTTCGAGGACGACCGCACGTCGCACGGCGCCGACTCCCTGCCCGGCGACTTCGACGCGCCGGTATTGCCGCGCGACTCGTCGTCGCGCGAGCCAAGCCTGCCGGGTTACGCGCGAATCGAGCGCAAGGACAAGCCTCCGAGAGCACCACCCCCGAGGAGAAAACGCCAGCAGGGTAAATTCGCCACGACTCCGAGACCCTCGAAGCACGAGGCCAAGAGAAGCCCGAAGACCTACTCTCACGCGGCTGGTACTCTGAGGTCTGCCAGGTCGGAATCCATGAGGTAAGTTTTCACGCGACGATCGTGAGAAATCGGTAACAAAAGGTGGTGCGATATGGCGTTGTGCTGCAGGAAATCGAGCGAATCGATCCCCTTCATGGACGCCGACTACTCGCTCGAGCACGACGACGGCTACTATCAGAGCGACGTGCTGCGCAGCGACGAGGTGCTCAATCGGATGCACGGTCGGCCGCTGCCGGCGCCGCCCCGTCCGCCCCGCCATCGCAAGTCCTTCAGGCGCACGAGTCTGCCGCGCGAGATAACGCCCGACTACACGGAGACGATCGCCTCGACGCAGACCGATCCCCTCGGCGACGATCTCATCGTCGAGGAGGAGGTCACGGGCAAGCTCGTGATGACGCCCTCGAGGTCGGGCTCGACCCAGGTGCTCATCAGCACGGAGCGCGTCCCGAGTCCCTCGGCGGGCAGCTTCAAGAGCGTCTCGGCGAGCACGCCGCCCATACCACCGAGGCCCGGCAGCGGCGCCTCCCACGCCAGACACAGACCGGACGGTACCGGTGAGTTTCGCACTGATTCTGAGTTTCGTTTTTACGATATGATCGAATTTTCGTTCACGCATCCATGCTCGTTCTTAGATTACGATGGGACGGATTCTAAATCACCGGCGCCAGACAGATCCAGGGTATTCGATTTGTCCCAGCTGGATATGCTTCGAGCCGCACTGTTCTCCGGCGACGAGCCGCTGAGGATCCCCAGCCTTGAAGTTGCCGATCTCAAGGTCGACCGGTTGACGGTGTCCCAGCTGGAGGCGTACAAAGTGGCGGCATCGGAAATCGACGCCATCGTCGTGTCGGCCACGGAGATGTCGAGCAAAAACGAGCAGGACGGCGGCATATCCGCCTCTCTTGTCCAGGAGTTGATTGCCATCAGAAACCAGTTGGGTAAGTTGAACGAAACAGCGCCGCGTGTCATTTTCTTGTTTTAAGTGATCGATGAAATTTCATGCGAAAATCAATCTGTAAATCTGTACAGAAATCTACATTTTCGTATGAATTTCTAGATTTTCATTTGGAAATGTATTTTTTTTTTGTTATTTAATTAAACAGGATCGTAAAAAAAATTTTTTATCCATTCATAGAATTTATCGATGAACGTGACATTACAGAGGCGGTGGCGGCAGCCCAGTCTCGGCCCCAATCGGTCATGGAAGACGCTTACACGTCGACGAGCAACGAACGCATCGATCTGAGTCCCGATCTGCGACGATCCTACACACGGGAAAGTACTCCCCTATTGGTGGTAGAGCCTCATGCTTCGGAACAGGAGGCGACCGCCTCTATGGGCCGTACCGTTTTTCCGCAGAGCGGCTCCTCGACGGACCTGCGTTCCATTGGTATCCCTTCCGAGGTGAGTGTCGGATTATTTTTTGGATCGAGCTAATCGTGCTCACGCATACATAATTAACGCATCGTAGAGCACGAAGAAGCCCGTGATCATCACCACGCCGGCGGAGTCGCCACCTCAGAGCGATCGAGACGACGTCGGGTCGTCGACGAGGCCCGCCGCCGCAGGATCGGAAGACTCGCACTCGACGACCCACTCGCGTTCGGCGTCGCCCGGTGGATCATCGCAGGCGGGACGCGCCCTGCGCCAGACGGCCTCACCGGTAAGGTCGCTGCCACCCGTGATCTCGGTTACGCCCGACGCCGTGCTCCAGCAGCTGCGTAGCGGTGACGGCAGCAACGCGGCGGCGGACTGCTGCGACGATCAGTCCAACGTGTCCGACGCCCATCATCACGTGACGAGCCACGGGGCTCGGCCGCAACGTGCTGTCATGTCGTACCTGAGCGGCTCCTCGCGCTCCCCGTCGCCCGATCCATCGGCGTCTGCGTCGGTAATAATTCCATCGTCAGTAATTCCATCGCCACCATCACAGCCACCACCTCGCAGCCCGAGTCCGAGCGTCGATTCCAGCACCAACACCGAGTCCCAATACGTAGCCTTTCCCCTGCCCCCGGAGTTCTTCTCATTAGCTCATTCTTCTGCTTCTAACGACCATCTCGATCATCAAAATCGCGAACATCACCACCTACAACACCATCACCATCATCACAACCACCAACAACAACATCTCCATCGTCACGGCATTGCCAATGGGCTAGTAGACAATATGAGCGGCGTCGAGCCGAGTGTAGCCGAGACGAGTCGGCAGCTGCTGCGGGCGCTCGGATTGACCGGCAGTCGAGCACTCAGACAATTTGTCGATTCTGTAGTTTCTAGATTCAACCGGCAACAGCAGCAGGACGACGACGACGGATTCCCCAGCGAAGAAAAAGTCCGCCGAGTAGAGCTGGCCATCTGCGCCCTGCTCGTGCTCATAGCCGGCCTCATTCTCGCGTGCTTCTGCTCGCCGAGGAACGTCGTCACTCACCACCACCACTGGGACTACTTCAATCCGCCTCAGTGACGCACAGATAATCTTACTACTACTGCCAATGTGCCGATCTCCCCGTAAAATTCAATGCCACCGATCGTTCGCATAATTTTTTTTCCTTTTTTTTTTTTTTAACGCCAAAACTGTAAGTATGATTACGATCCAACATCGCGGTCTTATACTGCAATCGTTGCGTTTTTTTTCTTCTCGGCGCAATTGTTATTTTAGCGAATAAAGTCTTAGCCAATTTTTTATTCTCTCGATGACGATGTTAAATCGTGAACAATTTTACCACGCAACTGACACAATATTTTCAGCTTTTAATATACATCGAACGCGCGCTGGGACTTGAAAAACTTATTATACGTACTTTTATTTTAAAACTTATCCGATCAAGCGGGGTCACCGATTTTACGAGAGATCAATGAATACATGTAATTACTTTGTAAGTAGAATTTTTGTTGAGATGGTTTCGTCAAGTTTGTATTTATTGATGAATTGACGAATTAACGATTTGACTTGAGCACGTCGGAATCAAACGACAGCAGCAATAGCCACTGCCGCTGTGTACATCAGAAAAGTGACTCGCCGTTTCGCCGATAATCACGATTGATTAAAAAAAAAAAAGAAACTTTATATTATACGAACGCACATAACAGTCAATCCATTTTCGAAAATTTTACTTATTCCTACGAGAAAATCAATAATGTTTTTACATACCTATTTTTTGTGACTTTTTCACATTTTTATCTACGAACGCTCACGCTCAAAATCATATATTAATTAAAAATATCGTAATGACTTCATCAAATGAAGTCGAATCGACGATTTTCAATTATCTCTTTGTTAATTGTGTAATTACAAAATTATGAATGATATAGTATTTTAAAAAAATATATATTTTATTCTATTGTTAAAAAAAAACGCAGGTGCGAGATTGAATTGAGTTTAATAATTTTGTTATCGTATGTTACTAATACAATACGTTTAAACGTAACGTTTTTAGAAACGTTACTCTTAACCCAAGCTCTATTCTGTTCAATTATTTACTATCGATCAATGATTAAATGATTTGTCGATGAAATCAGCTTACAGAATTTATACTGTGTAACTAAACTCTTATCAGCAATTCACGAATGCTATTGAAAATTGTTTCTAAAAAAATAGCTAGGCACCTGCGAAAATTTTTGTAATTCAAGAAAATTGTTCTTTTTACTGTTGTTATTTTATAACATTATTGTTACTACTTATCACAAGAATGTGAATAAACTATTCGAATATTTAAGAGCTTACTGAAAACTTGAATTATATGTGTTGTTTGATTTTTTATTCATTAAATAGCATAAATTTAAATTTCCTACATAATATTTGAAAATACAATATATTCACGAAAGTTTCACATTCCATCCATTATGTGTACCTTTAGATAGTAGAAATGAAAATACTAACTTGGATTGTCTAAGTTGTAAAAAGAAAGAGCATTGTAAACATATTTTTACTACTATTTTATTGGAAATTTACATTTTTTACAGATAGAATAAAAGTTTACTAACTTTCTAATCAATACATAATATTTCTAATTTTCATTTTACCTAATATATCCTCATGCTTTCAAGTTTTAAGTCCGTTAATTTCTTTAATTTCAGATTATGAATCAAATAATTTTTTATCTTTCACGCATTACTTTCATACATTGAATCGCTATGATATAATTTTTTTCTTAACTTATTATAGTTTACAATCATTTTAAGTAATTTTCGTCATTTAACAAAAAGTGTTCATTCATACTATTCATGCATACATGATATAATAGTTGCAAATAACGTCCTCAATTATAAAATTATAAATTTGCACAAATACATTTTTGTCACAGTGTAACAGTGTTTTTATACAATGATTCATTTTCATAAGCTTCAAAGTAATTTAATTCATCTTCTTACTAATCAGTGTTGAATATCTTATAAGTTAGCAAATACTCTATTTACAGTCATAAATATAAGAATAAGAAGAAATCTAACTAAAAAGATCATCTTCGTAAACTTGTAAATTTCTTTTATCCTTGTGTGCAGATTTTTGTGTATAACTTGCAGCTAAGTTAGACCACATAGAACTTGAAGTTGTATCATTCACAGGATCTATAACCGGTTGCCTTCTTGCCATTGACACTTTCAATTGTATTGAAGATGCCATGATACCATCCATTTCACTGATTGCCCGCTCAGCTGACTCTGGCTTTTCAAATGTTATAAATCCTCTATAAATGTAATAATTTTATTAAAAATGTTTTATGTATATACGATAAAATATAAATAATTTTGTACTCACTTTTTTTCAGCTTCCATTGTAATTTTAAGTATGTTACCAAACGCAGAAAAATGTTTTTTAAGTAAATCCTCGCTAATCTTATACCCACTGACAAATATCGTGTTTCCTTTGGCAGGTTTTATTTCTTGTTTCGAGGGCTGTGATTTTTCTGAAGATTGTTTATCATCTGTGTCAGAAGCTGATACAAAGCTATCATATAATCCCTTCATTTTTTGTCTAGGAGGTTGTTCTGCTTCTTCTTCTGGTTGAGTAGCTGAGAATGGCTGATAAGAACAGCTAGTCTTTTCTGCACTATTGAGCTTACGCTCTAAACCTCTAGGCCTTTTAAATGTTTGTTCTGGACGTTTGGCTGTTTTTGGAGCTGTGATCACTCCTGATTTTATTAATTTTTTTGCAACTTCTCTAGCATCTCTAGCCTCAATAGGCCTTTTAGGTGCTTGTGGTTGTCTTTCTGGCTCAGTTTTTGGTGCTTTCAAGTCTTGCAGAGCCTTTTTCTAGATAAATAGTGAGATTTTAAATTTCAAATTTATAAAATTAAATAAAAAATACTAGGAAAAATACTAGATGAGGAAGACATCACAATATCAAGTTCACGCGCGCATCTTTGGCATCTTTCTAACAATAGAATGTATGTATGTAAACATAACCTGCAGCACAAATAAACAAGCCGGTACGAAACATTCTTACAAATGAATTTTACGTACTATGTACTGAATTATAGTTAGATTCTGAGGTCAATATTTATCTCAAAAATTGCAATAATTATGTTCAAATATAATATTCTTCTGAACAATGGTCGACTAGGTGCATAATTAAAAAATCGAGTTGATAAAAAATGTACCTTTCGTTTTAATTTGAGATATTTCATCTGCAACATTTTCTCCTCTTCTGTCAAATTTACCGGAAAATGTATATAAACCATGATTATGGGTGGAAATTAATCTTGTGGGAAGCTATATTAGAACTCAAAACTAGCGTGGCTTGGGCTTCGGACACAGACACCCGCTCGTTGCACTATCGCAAAGTGTACTGCTTGGCTATGTTTGGAAATTGAACAACCGTAACGCAATGCCATTACAGCAGACGCTTTGTCACATGTGAAGACTGCATATATAGAGTGATGAAGTTTCATTGAATCATTAGATAGTTCTGGGCATAAGATTAAGGTGAATCAGAATTCGACGTCTTTTCTATAAAAAGTTTAAGGGAAAAGATGTATAGGCCAAATTTAAGAAAACTTAGAGACGGTAAATCATTCACTCGTCATAGGTGTTATAGTGTCAATAACAACAGCAAGTTTAATAATCCTCGATTAAATGGTACATTCACTCAATCCATTCATATTGGTTTATCGTCGATTTAAAAATTGAAATAATAATGATAATTGTTTTTATTGTAATGATCAGATTTTCCGGAAAAATACCAACCCAATGATTGTCGAAAAGGATGGTATGAGGTTTGGGAGAAAAACCAATACTTCAGACAAAATAAGGATGCCAACAAAACATTCAGAATGATTTTACCTCCACCTAACATTACAGGATCACTTCATTTAGGTCATGCTTTAACAACAACTGTTCAAGATATTCTGGCTCGATGGTATATAAATATAGAATTTTTCATAATTTTTGTATTAGAATTAAATTTTAAATCTAAAAACAATTTTATTCATCTTTATAGGCACAGAATGAAAGGTGCATCTGTTGTCTGGATTCCAGGTTTAGATCATGCTGGTATAGCTACGCAAGCTGTTGTGGAAAAGTATTTGTATAAAACTAAAAATATCAAACGTAGTGATATGAAAAAATCAGATTTTATAGACACTATTAATAAATGGAAGAATGAAAAATCTCAGATAATTGAAGATCAATTAAAAACTTTGGGAGCAAGTTTAGATTGGTCAAGGGAATATTTCACCATGAGTAAAGTAAATAAAAACAGTATATTTTCACTGACATAATCTCTAAATAAACTTTTTTTTATAAATTATTACTCACAGCACCATAATCGAGCTGTTCAAGAAGCATTTGTTACTCTAGATAAAAGAAATTTACTGTATCGTCAGAAAAGTTTAGTGAATTGGTCCTCAGCATTAGGTAGCACATTATCTGATATTGAAGTAGATAATATGATTTTAACCGGAAAAACTGATATTGAAATACCAGGGTATAAAAGAAAAGTTACTTTTGGTCAAATTTTTGAAGTTTGTTATGATTTAGAAGATGGATGTGAGTAGACGTAAAAATAATTTATTCTTAATAGCTGATTATACACTTATCAAAAACTAAACAATTAAATACATTCTTTCATTTATAGCAGAACAGTTAAAAGTAGCAACAACTAGGCCAGAAACAATTCATGGAGATGTAGCACTTGCGGTACATCCTAATGATTCTCGCTATAGTCAATTTATAGGAAGAAGAGTGAAACATCCATTAAAAGATTCATATATACCTATTATTGCAGATGAAAATGTTATAATGGATTTTGGCACAGGTATATTGCTTGAGCTATTTTATGAAATATATTGAAATTTAAAAATATTTTTGAATGCAGGAATTGTTAAGATAACACCAGCTCATGATCGTTTTGATTACAAAGTGGCAGTGAAAAATAATTTGGAAATGATAGATGTGATTGATGAAAATGGTCAATTAACAGGACAAGCTGATGAATATGCAGTAATGTTTTAAAATTGTTTTTGAATTTTAAGATTAAAAAATCTTGACTTCAGGGCTATAAGTTTCTTTGTGAAATGTTTTTGTAAAAAATTATAATATGACTGGAATTTAATATTTTCAAATAATCTGTATCTAAATACAAAGAAATAATCTCCTCGAATGCAAGATTATTTTTACATTGAGTTGATTTAAAAATAATTGATTGAAAAATTTTTAGGGGTTGCCAAGATTTATTGCCAGAACTAATATCATAAATCAGTTGCAAAGTATTGGTAAAATAAAATCAATTAAAGATCATCCCATGCAGATTCCAAGATGTTCAAGAACAGGAGACATAATTGAGCTAATTTTAAAAGAACAATGGTTTATGAAATGTAAAGATATGATGACTAAAGCTTACAAAGCTGTTGAAAATGGATCTTTAAGACTTAATCCTTCTTTTCATAATCAACTGTGGTTCAATTGGCTGGATGAAAATAATTGCAGGGATTGGTGTATTTCAAGACAGTTGGTTTGGGGTCATCAAATTCCAGCATACTTTTGTAAAAAAGATGGAGTTACAAAATGGATAGTTGCACATTCTGAAGAAGAAGCTAAAATTAAAGCTACTGAATTATTTGGTGAAAATTTTGAAATTTATCAAGACAGCGATGTACTTGATACATGGTTTTCTTCAGCCTTACTTCCATTTAGTGCTTTGGGATGGCCTGAAAAAGTAATTACTATTTTAACAAAGACAAATATTCATAATATTATAACATTTTTTAAAAATATATTTTACAGACTGCTGACATGAAACAATACTATCCTTTGAGTTTAATGGAAACTGGTCATGATATTTTATTTTTTTGGGTGGCTCGAATGGTTATGCTAGGCCTTGAATTGACTGATCAACTACCATTTGAAGTTTGTACCATAGCATATTGTAGATTGTATAAGAATTGATAATTTTATGTTTATAATCCTATAATTTAAATATTACAATAGGAAGTTTTGTTACATGGAGTATTGTGTGATGCTAATGGAAGAAAAATGTCAAAAAGTAGTGGAAATGTGATATTACCTGAAAATGTAATCAATGGAATTTCTCTTGAAGTATGTTAAAATTTGACAAACGTAATTAATCATTTGAAATCAAATATTTTTAAAATAACTTAATGAAACTGTGATAATTTTCAGGATTTAAATGCTCAAGCTAAAGCTAGCCACAATTCAGGAATATTGAGTGACTCTGAATTAAAACGAACTACAGGAATGAACAAAAAACTTTTCCCAAATGGAATCCCTGAATGTGGAGTTGATGCTTTGCGATTAACTCTATGCTCTCATAATATAAAAAGTAACGTAAACCTCTGTTATCAAAGTGATAGTTTTTTTATAATAATAATTTAATTTACTTTTTCTTAGAGCCTACTATTTCATTTGATGTTCTTGAATGTCAGCAAAATAAATATTTTTGTAACAAAATCTTTCAAGCAAGCAAATATGCTCTTCTTATGACTGATGATAGCCCTATTGTGGTGCCTGAAAAGTTCACTGTTATTGATGAATGGATTTTAAGTCGCTTAGCATGGATGGTTGAAACAGTTAATGATGCTTTTGACCACAGAGATTTTCATAAAGCTATGGACGCTATAAAGCAATTTTTATATTATGAATATTGTGATTACTTTATTGTAAGTAATTTTTGAATGATATAAAATATCAGTAAGATTATTCACCATGTTACTAAAAATAATTTTCATAAAAAAATTAAAACAGGAAGGGACAAAACGTGGATTTATGAGTGAAGACAAGAGTATTGTAAATAGTCACAGATATGCCCTGACAAAATGTTTAGAAGTATCTATTAAAATATTGGCGCCTATTGCTCCTTACTTTTGCGATGATTTATATTTAAGACTATCGAAAAAATTATCAATTTTTACTACCCAAAGCTCACTATGTGAAAGTGCTTACCCGGATACCAAAGACTTATTAAGTTTTAGAAACGTTAATTTAGAAACTAAAATGGAAAGGCTTATCCGAATTGTTTTATCTCTCAGGAGTTTACTTGGAAGTATTTCTGATAAATCTGACCTTGAAGGTATTTTCTCATAATCCAATATAATTGTATAAATTTAATGTATTGGTAATAAGCATAAAATTATTTTCAGGACACATTGTTGTAAACAATACAGAAGATCTGAAGCTGCTTGAAAGCAGTAAAAATATTATTGTCGCTGTTAGTAAATTGTCGAATATTCAAATAATTGAAGCAGATGATTATAAGAAATGTAGTAATTGTATAAGTGGTTCTGTTGATGAAACTGCTGCAGTGCATGTCATAATCAACAATGAGACTGTACTGAAAAATACAAAAGATCTTTTAGAACGTAGGAGAGTAAAGGCTGAAGAAAAGTTGCAAAAATTAATAAAAAAGACATCTTCGAAAAAATATTCTTCAAATGAATCAGAAGAACAAAAAAAAGCTGATCAAACAACAGTGAGTATATTTTTTGAATTAAAAAGATGTTACTACTACCATTAATATTGAAATTATCACGTCAGATTTCGACGCTTCAAGGAGAACTAAAGAAGATCCCATTATCATCGTGATTAAATAGACAATTTTGTATATAAATTAAAAATATATTTATTGTACATAAATTTCTCAATACAAAATAATTTTGTATCATTCATTGTCAAATGAATAATTAACTACGTTAATCGTCCTCATCAGACTCATCATCTTCATCATCCTCGCTGTCGTCTTCAGATTCTGAATCACTAGATTCATCGTCAACCCAAACTTGAGAGGATAAATCATCTTTCACTATAGTGATCCATTCATCAAGTTTTTTACAATCTGCAAAGAAATAATTTTTTATTTTCTAAACAACTTTTTAACTTAGTTTGATAAATTTTCATTGTACTTTACCTAAGCTATAAAAATCATTTAAAGTGTATGTTTTATCGCCGTCTTCAAAGAGACCTCCATACATGTACAAAACATTATTTTTAACAGCCAATCCAGGGTTTATCCTAGGAGATGGTGTGAATGCACATGAAACAGTTCCATCATTGGTTGTAGAAGTTTTACTTGTTGTTGGTGCTGGGCCAAATGATAGCTAGAATTTTTAAAAAAATATGTTAAAAATTATGTTATTAAAATATTATTCTTTGGATAATTAGAGAAATTTTTTAATTACCGTGAAAATTCCATCATCATCAGTGACTTCAGTTTGTTCTGAAACTACTTCCATTGGTTCATCTGCTATTTCTTCAACTTCTTCATCTGAGTTATCTTCTTCCTCATCACCTTTGGCTTTTCGTCTCTTTTTTTTATTATTTTGATCAGTCTTTCCAGTCAGATGAACTAAAACAATATTTGCAAACTGTTACATCTGTAAACTTTTTTTAGTTTTGTCAATTTTAAAAGTTTTAGAAAATATACCTGTATGCCATTGTGATTTACTCAAGTTCAAGCAAAATAGATCATTGTAAAAGTTTCCATTTAATTCCTCATCGTTTTCTTCTTCATCATAAACACCTCCAAACATGTAAGCTGTGCCTGGTTGTATCAAAGTAGCTGATGCACTACATCTAGGAGATACATGAACTCCACTCTGCTTCACAAGTGTCCACTTCCACTTTAACCCAGTTTGATCATTTTCTATAAAATTCAATAAATTATAAATTAATTATTAATATCGAAAATTCATAATTATTAAAAATCAATTTTCAACTCACTTTCTGGACTCAACAAAAACATATCTGTGTGAACATGCCCCTTATCAACATCCATCTTAACTCTATTTTTACTGTATCCTCCATAAACAATAATTTTATTTTCAGGAGTAGGTAACAAAATACAACCAGATCTGGGAGCAGGTGGGTTTCCTGTTGAAAAAAACATAAAAAACAATGCATAACAATTTCCATAAAATGTTTTAATTTTTGGATATATATTTTTAAAATCACTCACCAGAAGTTTCTAGTTTACTCCAAGCGTATGTTGCCATATTGAAACAATAGATATCATTGAAATACTTATAGTCTCGAAGATTATCATGGAAACCTCCAAAAACAAATAGATTTTTCTTTATATTAACCATTCTATGTCCACTTCTTGCTGATGGACCACCGCTACTTCTGCAATAAAAATAACACTTTAGTTTCATAATTGATAAAAATACCTTATCAAATTAGTAATTTTAAAAACTTACGATACTTTGCTCCACTTTTTATCTCCTAAATGAAAAACCCAAAGATCTCTATAATGATGAAATTGGGACTCTGATGGACTGGAAAATTCACCTCCAAAAATCCAAAGTTCACCTTTGTTGGCCTGAGTAGCTATGGCTTGATGGCCACAACGTGGTGGAGGAGCTCCAGGGGCTTTGACTACTGTCCACTTTTTCTTATCCAAATCATAAAAAAATAAATCACCATACACAACAGTCTTTTGTCCATCAAAGAATTCGCCACCAAACATAATAAGTTCATTTTTAAAGGGATGAGGGGTCAGGGAAAAGTTAACTCTGCGAGAAGGAGGTGCTACAACAGTCTCTATAACTTTTTGTCTGGCTGCCTCCTCTCTTTCTATTTGAGCAATGACTTTTTCTATGTCTTCCTGTAAAAATTAAAATTAAATATTAATATCTTTGTGTTGAAATAATAATTAATAAAATTGGCGAAAGTAACCTCTCCGAGAGCAGCTAGTTCCTTTTTTTGTTTGGCACTCAATTTTTTTTCAGTTTTTTTTAATGTTTTTTCGATACCACTGCCCTTCTTCTTCTTGTCTTTTTTTCCCATATTGACTTATTACAAACTGCTACGAAAAATTAAATAATTGAAGTTATTTCCAACTCCTCTGGCTGTCAATGCACGAGTAACGAGGCTGAGCAGTAGACACCGCTAATGCCATGTGCTCCGGCCTCCGAGTTGTAAATAAGCGCCCGCCTCCCTCCCCTCGTCAGTCGGCGTTTTAATCGTATTCAGCGTCATCTGTAAATTCAATGCGGCCGCTCCGTAAAAACTATCGTGGGAGTTTTGTTCACATAGTCGGGCGCCTGTAGAGCTTCTTACGGGTTATCCGCATTGAATTTGAAGAGAGCGCTTTATCCCCTAAATCGTACATAGTGCATACACAAATTCGCCGCTGTGCATTCACACTAGTAATGCGAGAAATGTCAAATTAGATACTATTGTCTGCATTGTTTAGTTTATACTCTGTCACTTAGATCTACTGGGACTCAATCACAGTTCTTGCGCTTGTGCAATAATTTTACTCATCGCCGGTGCCGAAATTCAAAGTTTGCACATCAGATAGTTCGTGATTGTTTAATTTAAAAACTTTTGTTCAATTAAGGTTAGTTTTTTTATTTTTTAAATAATGAAAGAAATAACTTTTTGCTAAAAAAGAAGTGCAGTTTATATCAATGAATTTACTATTTTTACAGGAGTTTCAATACAATCCTAACAATGACAAATTACAAAGAACAGTATAAAGAGTTAAAAAAACAGCTCAAGTATTTGTTGTATGAAAATGAATCATTTCAAGAAGCTTTGAGATCAACGCAAAGACAGCTTTTGAAAGTCAATAGGGATAAAAATTTTTTGTTAGATCGAATATTAAATTTTGAACAAGTTTATATGTCTATGAGTGAAAGTAATAATGACACTGATTCATCGGAAGAAGAAAGTGCAGAAATAAGAAACTTGAAAAGGAAAAAACCAGACTATCCAGAAACCAATTCTTCCCCTTATTATGCTGTAGAACAAAATAAAGTTATGGCTTCATGCAAAAGGAAAAAAACTGTGAACAAATTAATCAAACAAGAAGTATTTTCACCAGAAGTCAACAATGCACATCCTGGATCGTCTATATCTGATGGACATATGACACCAGAAGAAGTTGAAAAGCATTTAGAATCTCGCCGCAGTTACCTAGAACTGGTGCCTGAAAAAGCTCCACCAACAGTTCCCATTGATATGTTCAGTAATGACATCTCGCCAGGAAAATTATAATGCAGAACTACTTTAGGCAACTCAAAAAAACTCTAGTTCAAATATTTTTAATAACAGCATCTTCTTTGATAATTTGTATTCAAGTGCAACAAAACTCATATAAGATGCATCAGTGTTGATGAGAGACAATATTTTTTAAGTGTAAATATGTTATGTGTAAGTCTTGCATCTATAAATAGAATATATAATGATCGTGAAAATGATTAAAAACAATTTAGTATAACCACAAATAGATTTAATTTTAAGTAAAATAACTTTAAAAATAAGATTATTTTTTAAAGATCACAACTAAAAATTTTTTTATTTATACTATCAATAGTGTTAAAATGAGAAAAAAATTTATGTACAAATTTTAATTTTGTACTTAGAAAGATAAATATATTGATAATATAATTGTATTATACATTTTTTTAACAAGACCCCTATTATTAAACTTAAAAAATTTTACAAGATTCATTATTTTTCACATTATCACTTTGTCATGAGTTTTTTTTATCTTGGTGATTGTTGTGCCCTTGTAAATTTTCAGATTCTTTTGGTGCTTCAATTTGCTTTAATTCTGGTAAAAGTAAACATTTTTTCTTCAACAATGTTCCTCCTGTAAAACCTGCAATTTATTTTTATATTATTTTAAATTGATACAAGTATCATTTTTTATTTATAAGACATACCAAGTAACCCTCCACCAATTGCCGCTAATCCACCTAATTTCAAACCAACTGCTAGACCTACAGGTCCACCCAAACAAGTACCCAAAAGAGCTCCGGCAATAGGATATCCAACTAATTTATATTTGGCAGCTTGCTGTAAGTTTTTGTTTCCTTCTTTTATATTGATTTGACTTTCTTCAACAAAGTCCTCAATTTTGTCAACCGATTCAGCTTGTTCCTGATGTGATAACATTTTTATTGAATATTGATACCATCAAATAAAAAATTTTAGTTATTCATACTTACATGAACAAGCTTATTAAAATCTAAAAACAAATGTTGCAATTCTTGCAAATCATTTTGCAAGGAAGTCCATGCACGAAGACATGCTTCTTGTTGATCAAGATCTTCTTGCTCAGCTTGAATTTGCAAAAATTGATTGTCTAATGAAGAATTTTCATGTGTCGGAGTTTCTTCTTTTAAAGAATTTTTGTCAGTAGAAGATAGATCTATTTGAAATTCTATTGTAAAAAAATTTGGATAAATGAATATTAATTCAAAATACATGCATTATATATTCCAAGAATTTCAAGGTTTTACCTAGATATTCATTGATAGCATTTAAAGTACTAGTTCGTGCCTTAATTGTCAATTTATCAAATGTTGGTATATCATTGTCAATTACTTGTCCTCGCAGTGTATCCATTTCATATAATAATTGTTTTAACTGTTTAACAACCCTTGATGCATTAATTTGCTCCGTATAAACTTTGTCCCAGTCACGAACATTTTGATACTAAAGTAGGAAAGCCATATGAAATTTATACTTCCATTTTAGTTGAAGTTAATCGAATTTTTAATTAATTTAGAACAAAGAACATACTTTTATGATGTTGTTTTTGTGTCTTTTGAGGAGATCAGTGTGATGAGGAATTGCTACATCATTGAATTTGTTAATTGGTATTTCTAAGCGCTTAATGGGCTGTTTGGTCACAACTTCCTTTATAGGAGACGACATTTTTTCTCAAACCCTGAATTATTTATTTTTCAAGGAAATTAGTAAAACTAAAAGACATTTTTGCGAAAACGTCATGAAGTACCATGAATGGTGCTAAAATGTTATGTAATGACCAATAACCAATACTTCAGTGACTTTTGTTGACCTGTTTATATTTAATAAGCTCAGATATAAATGAAGATAAACAAAAAATAAACTGAAATCAGCTGCTAATGTAAACACATACAAAGGTCTGCTGCGCAACAAATATATGACGAGCGAGAACTGTCAATTTATTGTCTGAACTGTATTACCGTCAGCAGATATCAACACAGGGAAGAGGGGATGAGTGTATATGGATCTGCTCTGAGTTCCTTTCCTTTTCAGCTTGCACGTGTTAGCAGGTGAGATTTTTTGTTTTCAAAGTTAAAAGTGACAAAAATAAATAGTGCGTGAAAATATAAAATAATTTCATTCTTCTAGTGTATTTAATAGTACCCTTAGTTTATTTTTTAAACCCTAGTATAAATCTGATTTCTTAGTAGCTTATAAAATACGTGTGCTTTACTACGCCGACTAACCTCTTTTGTAAATGTGCATTTTCTAAAAATTTGTATGATACTTATTTATTTTTTGAAGTTGTATTATCACACTTCAAAATTTATTTTTGCTTTGCATAAACCTTCAGTTTTTATATTGTATATTATCAGTAACATATTTTGTTGTCAATCTTGGGCATACTAATACTTGTATTCATTTTCAATTTCATCCAATAACAATTGATTTAATTGATGAATATTAATAAAAATATAGTTATTTTTAAAGTTATATGCACTAAGAATAATTTAATTTACAATGGTTTCTTTTATTATAAGATAATATTTTTATTTATCATTTAAATATACAATTTACTTTTTCATATTGAATGTTTCTATATGATTAGTGGTTTCCAGTGTTATATAAACAAAAAATTATTTATTACAGAACTGCAAGGATGAAGACTATAAACACTTATCAGACTGTGAAAATCCCAGCGGGTTTGACAGTTTCTGTCAAATCCAGAATGGTCACAGTTAAAGGACCACGAGGTGTTTTGAAGAGATGTTTTAAGCATCTAGCTCTTGACATCCGCGTAAGTTATAATTAATAACTTTGTCAATTTTACTTTGCTTAAAGAAAATAATAAAAGTAAATGACCCACATTTGGAACATTGTTCATAATTTGATATGTGTTAATCAAATGGGCTCAAAAAAGTATTCCATATTACGGCATGTTAAAAAACGCTATGTCCATATTATGAAACAAAATACTTTCAAAAAATTAGTATTGACATTTAATTTACACATTCCATATTATGGGACACTTCATTATAGAACACTGAACCAAAGAAACAAATCGTTCTATAAATATGGACACAGGATCAGTTTCAAACATGTATAAAACAATATTTTGATAATCTTCAAACATAAGTAATAGAAATTTACCATCAGAAGGACGATCTACTTTGATTAAAACACATATGAAGGTTTTTAAAAACTTCATTTATATGTGGTTCGCTTACAAAGTCAAAACACTTAAAAGTAGTGTTCCAAACATGGGTTGTTAACCTTAATTCTTATGATGATAACGTGGATTCCCCTTCATTTAATTATAAATGATTAATTCGTTTCTGATATAAAAAACTTAAATTTTCATTGCAGTTTGTCAAGTTTTATACAATTTTAACATGTTTATCATAAATGACATTACAGATGGTGAACCCAAGACTTCTTCGAGTAGAGAAGTGGTTTGGAACCAAAAAGGAGCTGGCTGCTGTAAGAACAGTCTGCTCACACATAGAAAATATGCTCAAAGGAGTTACTAAAGGATACCAATACAAAATGAGATCTGTATATGCCCATTTCCCCATCAACTGCGTTTGCACTAACGAAGGCTCCACCATTGAAATCAGAAATTTCTTGGGTGAGAAATTCATTCGCAGAGTCGAAATGGCTCCAGGAGTCACAGTAACAAATTCAAAAGCTCAAAAAGATGAACTGATCTTGGAAGGAAACTCTCTGGAAGATGTTTCTAGATCAGGTGAGTTATAATTGATAAAAAAATTCTTAGTTAAAAAATAGACTTTCTTACTTCATACAATATTTTTTATTTCTATGTCTTAAATTTACATGTTAGATTATCAATTCTTAAACAACAATCTCACGAAATGAAAATTTATATGATTTCATCAAAGTCAATATTATCTTTTATTTATTGTTTTTAATATTTTTTGAAAATATATAATTTTTTAATCTGATTTTTTCAGCCGCTCTTATTCAACAATCAACATCTGTGAAAAACAAGGATATCAGAAAGTTCTTGGATGGACTTTATGTATCAGAAAAAACCACTGTTGTGCAAGATGAAGAATAAATTGCTTCGTTTCGTTAATAAAAATTTATTCATAAAAAAAGTTATAAATTGATTATTTATTATTTTATATCAATTCAGAAATCATAATAGAGATACGTTTAGTATAGTTGTTCAGTATATTATTTTTTAATTATGTTGTAATTAATGTGAGTCGCATCTTCTGCGATTTTTTTTTTAAATTATTAAGTAGCGAGGTAAAAGTTCCGATTTAAAAAGAGCTATGCAATAACAATTTTATACCAATAGTTTAAACAGATCTTCATTTTATCGAAGTAATTGTAATGATTCGTGCTCAGCTTCATGCGTATCAGTCCAAAACTCGTTCAGAACTATATGCGCGCAGGTGAAAATTCTTCGATATGCTTCTCTAATTTCACTGCGGTATTTCCGAATGAACGTTTTTTTTTGGCCAATGGAAAATTCGCACGCGGCCGGATACGAGCCAATTCTTTCTCCCTCTTCCTTGTCGGAAAGGTTTTGGCGAAATTCCATGCCGTGAAAAAATAGTATAAAGCTCCTGCCACCGCCACCGCGCCGATATCTTACCGAGCCAAGCGTCGAATGCCGCATGCCGAACGAGCTAGGTAACGAGAGAACAGCGTCTCGATGCTTTCTCTCTCTCTCTCTCTCTCTCTGGCTCGTGAGCTTTTTGTCTTTTTTGCTTTACCTGTTGTAGATCCGCACTCGAGCGTGTGTATCTTTGCTTTCTCTCTTGTGTAAAAAAAAAGGTAAGATCGGAAGGGTAAAAAAAGCGTAAAAAGACCAAAAGATTGGATTTTCACGCAAGCCGCATGTAAGGATTTATCCGATTTTTTGGCAAGCTGCTTTGTGATCGTGCAGCTGCAGCAGCGCAGGGCCCAAGACTTTTGCCGTGCATGTACTTTTGATTACTTTTCCGATTGAGCGGCGTCGACGGCAGTCGCGCACGGCCGCAGCTCGATCATTATTTGATGAAAAAAGCTCCCGAAATTCCGTTACATCTCGAAACTCTCCACTTCTTGGCCGAACCGCTGATTAATCGACATTTTTGCCTCTCTCGGGGGGTTGAGCCGTCGTGTCGTGACAGAGCAGTGTGTCTCTCGTCGCGTCGAGATCGGCTCGATCGACTCTTCCACCTATATACATAATACGTGCCCGGCCAACATCAAAGCGAAGCTCGCGGTGCGCAGAGCTACTACTCAATTTCATTAACGAAGCAGCCTGCTTTTTTTATTTTTATTTTTATTTTTATTTTTATTTTTTTTTCATTTGCTCCTTCTCTCTCCCTTCTGTCTCAAAGTAATCCAATACGTGGAGCCACGCGGCTTCAAATTAAAAAGTACATGCAGCACGCGGGTACGGCCGCCTGTGCGGTGCAGCAGTGCCGCCGCGGCTACCCCCTCGTATAAGCTCCGCATGTGCCATGCTCGGCCGCATGAATCACGTTCACGGAATGGGCGAAATTGATTAATGGCCAGGGCAACATCTTCACCATCGTGGCGCACTGTCGCGAACGACGGTGAGAGAGAAAAAAGTCGCCACACATTGAGTTTCGTGTTCGATCAACATAGTAATTTCCGGCTTATTGGTATAAATGTGAGTGTTAAATGCGAGAGCAAAAGTTATTCTTGCAAGAAAAGCGAAATTGCAATATTTCCTCATGCTCAAAAATAATAATGGCCTGTTAAACCAAAAATTATTAATTAAAATGTTTTTGTGCAATAGTATAACAAAAATAACTATTAAACGCTTCATTCATCATATGTTGGCTAGTATCTGAAGATTTTTTGTTACAATCATATTACAAATAGTAAGCGCATTTCAAATGATCTAAAAATAACAGTTTAATTGTGACAAAAGAATTCGATTAGTTTTCGATTATTTAAATGCGATAATATCAGTTCAATACTTCACCACTAGATGACGAGTACCTTTATCTGTAAATTTGCAAGTGGTAAAGTACAAATATTTGCATGAGTAGAAGCACGGTTCCAGTACTCTTTAATGTATCACAAACAGTTTTTGATTATTTTAAAAAGTATATCATAATCGTTTATTTTTTCATATCCCCATGAATATTTGTATAAAAGAAAGTGTTGAATTGGGATGAAAATGTTTGCAAGTCGCGAGGCGCCTACAAGAGCTGATAATCGCGAGCGAAAGCAAAGCAGAACTTGCAGCAGCAGCAGCAGGTTGTATACACACGAGAAGGAAGCGAGCTTGTACGAGTATTATACAGTCGCGCGTCGGGCATCGAAAATGAAAAATGGAATGTTGGCTGTTCGCAAAGTCCGAGAGCTGCTGCAGAAGCTCATGGCGCGTATAGACGCGCTACCCAGCTCTCGTCGTCGTTTTTGCAAGTCTTTTGCAGTTCATATCTCGCTCTCTCTCTCTCTCTTTCTCGGCGAGTATTGAATATTCAAAAGTTTCCTCGCCATGCGCTAGCTGCCCCCTCGTACACTGCTATACAGTGCGCGCGGATTCGGGGGGTTGAAAGTTTTTCGTCCGTGTTTAGCGCGCAGCACGTGCAGCAGAGAGCTTGCGTAGATATATATAGAAGAACATGTATGCAGGAAAGGATAGCTATACGTGTATTATAGGAACGCACAGAGGATGTATAATAATAGCGCACGACGGAGAAGGAAGTTTCTTTGCTCGGCTGCTGCTGCTGCTGCTGTTGCTACTGGAAAGATCGCGCGCAGAGAAGACGTTCTTTTTGCTGCCTGCGAATGCCGAATATCGCGCGGCACGTGGATATATATATGCGCGAAAGGATCGCCGAGCTCCACTCGGCTCCAGATACGTTGCGCTGCACTTTTTTTTCATCTTTTCATGATATCTCGCTCGACTCTGTGTGTGCACTCTGTATATTCGGGAGGATATAGCTCGCTCCGTCGCAAGCTGCATCGCGCGAAATCTGCATGGCTGCTTTTACACATACAAAATTACGCACATCCGGGAACGGGGATTCGAGCTAGTTGAGGTCCTTTCTTTCTTATCGCGCGAAAGTTGAGAGCGAATCAATGCGAGGCTTCGACAGCCAACGCGGCAATTCTCTCCCTGCCTGTATAGCTATGTATGCCATATGAACAAATACGCGCGATTCTCAGTGAAAGCTCGCGAAAGCTCGAGAACGAGCTGCTGCTGGAGGTCCTGTATGCACAGTGCGGGACTACTTGTCGAGCAGCGACGAAACTTTTTCGACTTCGCGCTGACTCGTGTACGTGTGTCTGTGTGTGTACATGCGTAAATATTTCTTCGCAATTTCTTCGAGCCGGCGAGCTCGAGTTTATCGCATCTCACGCCCAGCTGCGTGCACCGCCGAGCATCGCCACCGCCGCGTTTCTGAGACTTTTTTCTCTCGCTCTGTGAGGCGCCCGGGCCGTGTCGCTCTATATACGTATACACGTAAAACTGTATTATACATATATATCTAAGCTAGTTCCGCGACTATTTGCTCGAAGCTGACGACGCTGAAATTTTCTCGTATATACCCGTCCATCAAACAGCCTTCGGGACGCTATTCGCACAGCATCCGAACGAGGTAGAGAAAGAGAAAAGATAAAAGCAGCGAGAACATGTCAACATTTTGCTACATTGCAGCGGCAACAGCAGCAGGCCAGCAACGAGAGGCAACTTGCTGTGACAAACTCTGATTTCGCTGGATATATTTATACGCGGCCTGTATTGACGCTGCAATTCTACTAGCAGCTTCTGCTCGTTCACGTCTCGTTGAGGCTCGCCCTCGGGGCACAACTTTTCCGTATCTTTACATTCTTTTATGCGAATTAATATCAAAATTGCTTCCGAGTCGAAAGTATTGAGGGATTCATGACCACCCTTATGAAAAAAATCTGCAAAATATGCTGCAAAAAAAATCTGCAGAAAAATCTGCAGAAAAGTCTGCAGAATTTTCTGCAACATTTTCGCGCCCACAATCTGCTGGAATTGCTGGGCCAAAGAACGTGGTAACACGCTCATTCTACAGAATTTTCTGCAGAGCAAGGTGGAAAATCTGTTGGAAAAAACGCTCGCGACTCTCGTTCTGCAGATTTTTCTACAGAAGGAAGTTTATGAGTCTACAAAGTACGTACAGTTCTGCAGAATTTTCTACAGAAGGAAGTTTATGAGTCTACAAAGTACGTACATTTCTGCAGAATTTTCTACAGAAGGAAGTTTATGAGTCTACAAAGTACGTAAATTTCTACAGAATTTTCTGCAGAGCAAGGTGGAAAATCTGCGGGAAAAATGCTCGCGACTCTCGTTCTGCAGATTTTTCTACAGAAGGAAGTTTATGAGTCTACAAAGTACGTACATTTCTGCAGAATTTTCTACAGAAGGAAGTTTATGAGTCTACAAAGTACGTAAATTTCTACAGAATTTTCTGCAGAGCAAGGTGGAAAATCTGTGGAAAAAACGCTCGCGACTCTCGTTCTGCAGATTTTTCTACAGAAGGAAGTTTATGAGTCTACAAAGTACGTACATTTCTGCAGAATTTTCTGCAGAGCAAGGTGGAAAATCTGCGGGAAAAGGGCTTGCGACTCTCGTTCTGCAGATTTTTCTACAGAAGGAAGTTTATGAGTCTACAAAGTACGTACATTTCTGCAGAATTTTCTACAGAAGGAAGTTTATAAGTCTGCAAAATCAAGTAAATTTCTACCGAATTTTCTGCAGAGCAAGGTAGAAAATCTGTTGGAAAAAACGCTCGTGACTCTCGTTCTGCAGAATTTTCTACAGAAGGAAGTTTATGAGTCTACAAAGTAACACAATTTTTTGCTTAATGTGTATTTTAAATCTGCGTGATAATGCCGGATTCTCTTAAGGTAGAACAGAACAAGCAAGCGTTTCGTTTAACATTGTTATTGCTCATTGTACCTTTTTTTATAAAATATAAGTTTTTTACGTATGTATAGAATGATTGACTTGTGTCGATATTCTCGAGTTAATTCACCGCCTCATAAAAAAAGGACGTGCGAGTCGCGTGAGTTCGTAACCCGCGATGTGCATTCTAAGGCTTACTCTACATCAGCCGTTCAGACCGAGGCAAGCGTCGAGTCAGTCTATAACCACTGTGCTAGTTGGCGCGCGCTCATTGTGGTACGCCGTTAAAACTTGCATTGTTATTTGTTGTGCTCGTTCATACTGTGCAGTTGGTATCTCGCTACTGATGTTGGTTAAGTCTGCTGCACATGTTAATTATTTTATAGCAGTGCAGGTGAGTATGGTGTATCCGTTTGTATTAAAATCTTATATTGTTGACTGATGCACTTTTGCTGTGTGAGTATCAGAGCTGCAAGAGGTTCTCTGAACTAACGAAGATTCCAAGTCTCGTGCAGTGGTGCAGGTCTCGGTATCTTCAATGTCGTCCATGGAACTTAAGAAACGTCGTCGAGCTAAGATAAATGAAGAATGACACGTACTTTACAAGTTTGAATATTAATAAATAGTATACTCATATCCTGAGGGCTAGTTGGCTATGCAAAACCCAAAAGAATTTTTTAAAGCTGATTTTCTGAGCCGGTTTGATATAGTGTCATTTAGTCGCTTGGACTTGGAGATGCTGAGAAATCTGGTAAGAACTTAGACTTTATCATTCATTCTAATAATAAAAATCAATAAAAATAGATATATGAGTGATTTTGAATAATTAGCGGAAAACCAAAATTTTTATCATAAATCACTAATTTGTAACTAATATCATATAAAATTTGTATGATTAATATAGTATATCATGTGAGGGCATTAATCAATGCATATGAATGGTAACTAACAAGAGTATTATCCACTTAACTTTCATTTTGTTTATATTTTTAGATAATCATTGTTACATTTTAAAACTGCTACTCACACAATTTTTTTTCTTCAATACTATTGCCTACTTTCAAATTATTGTTTTATTACATGAGTATGATGTTTCACAGATGGATTAAAATGGAAAAAGATCACTCTTTATTGAATTTGATCTTTTGGATTGCTATTACGTGGCTTTACAGTCACCCTGACTAAGAAATGCTTTGAAATCAGGTGAGAATTTTAATATTCATTATTAAAAGTAAATTTATGATTAATCTTTGATTGATTTTTTGTAATATGTACTACTAATTCTTCAGTAACACCTCACTCAATCCATTTAATCATTAGTATAAACGTTTACTGATGAATTAAAAATTTTAAAAGCTGGAGCTTACAAATAATAATTTTTTCATATTCATTGTAATTGTACTCTTTGTAAAAATCAAAAAGGTTTAAATTTGTCTTTGCAATAGCACGATTCACAGTAAAAGCGTTTTATTAGTTTAGGCCAATAATAACAAACAATCTTTTTTTCAGAATCTGTTGCTGCAATCAACAACTCCATTGATTCACCGACCAAGAAATACATAATTAGATATAATTTGTTTATATGTAATTTTTATATATATAATATAAAATAATTTATATATGTATGGAAAAACATATATATGAAAACTTCATCGTATGTGGAGTTATGTGAGCGAAATGCGCTTCAAAATATTCTTGTAGTATTAAAACAGCATCAAAGCTTTTTTTTCGATTATTTTTCATTTCCTAGAAAGTTGAATATATTTTCTAACAACAGCTTGTTGACTATTGGAGTACATTAAATTCAACCAACGATAGCGCACCACGTGCAAATAGATTATGACAAACCTAAAAAAAAGTATAGATAGATGTACTAAACATAAAAAGTAGTCTATGAGGTTTAAATTTAGCGAAGCAAAATTCACCTGATTTCTTATGATAAATTTTTAAGTATTTTTAATCAGTTTCCATTGTATTTATTAAAGGTACTATTATTACTTTATTATCCTTGTAAGGAACTGCTGCACATTTTTTAGATAGCGACGACACTTCACAGCAAATCAATTTCGATTTTGGCATAACTATTGTAGATATTAAACTAGAATCTGCAAAGGGGGTTTGAAATAAAGTCTCATTGAGAATTTTCATTTCTTCACCCAAAATCAAACATTTTTCCTCTGATTCTTTTACTACAGTAACCTGAATAATTTCAGTCATGCAGATTATTCTACCATCATTTAATAGCGCAATGTTATTAATTCTTTTTTTTAACCGCATATACGTTGAGGTATGATATAGGGTTTTTTTATAAACAAATCTATTGTACGACTTATAAGAACAGTACACTGGGCCAGTTATTCTTTCAATTATCACTTTTTGGATTACTGTTAATTTTTGGATTTTTTCTTTACCGAAAATTTTGAGATTCTCTGCATATTCAATACAGCTTTTTACTTCACACTCTTTCATCAATTTTATGAAGAGATTTCGTACATCTTCGTTATCTCTTGGCTCGCTAAATATGTGGCTGTTATTTTTTATGTATCTTAATCGGTAACTCATCTTACAAATTTGTTCAGGAATGTACTGAGTCCCATGAAATAATTTTGTCAAAATTCCGTTAAAATTTTCATACATAAAAGCAGACCAGCTCCATAACGCTCCATACATTTTAACAAATTGAGGGATGTGAGTTAAAAGATGAACATTAAATCTCATGAAACTAATTTTTTCATACAAAGGCTGTAAGTCTTCAACAAATTTCATTAAAGCTTTAGAAGCTTTTTCAAACTCAATGTCAGAAATAGTATTTTTGGAAAATATGGCCATGCTAAAAATGAACAACTCCCAGTGTCGTAGGTACTTTGGGGGTAAATATTCCTTGAGACATGAATGAGATGTATATATTATAAAAGTTTTCCACTCACTCGCCTTGTAATCATTGTTAATTGCTTGAGGAGTTCTCGTTATCTCTCTTGGTGGTTTGAACTCCAACAACTTCTTGGAGAATTCGTTCTTTTTTTTTCCTATATAAAATGGTTCATTTTTATTTTCTGTGTTAAACCATTCTTCTGTGAGAAATTTACCAACGCCCAAAAGACATGAGTGCATGTATTCAGGGGGACATGCCTGTATTAAATTGAAATTAGGTATAAGACTTATCAAAGATGGCCCTTTTACGCCTTTAACAGAATCAATCTTTCGGTCTTTTAATTTTTCGGTTTCTTGCAAATGCTGCAAGTAATTTTGCTTCGTTCGTGGGTCACTGTTGCAAAATGGGTACACACGTGCATTATTTTCAAGTCTATCACCTTTTTGTAAGCAATAGGTACAACCATATTCGCCATTGAATTGCTTCATATTCATTACCGCTGATCTGGCTGGAGAGTCGGATGAAAAAAAGAGCGTATGAACTTTTACATGAATTTTTTTTTTATCATACGTGATAGTTTCAAATCCATCATTGTATAATTTTATCAGTTCATCCACAAAAGGTTTTAGGTATAAATTGAATGATGGTTTTTTATCTCCATACCACAGCCCACATAAAAATAGATTATTTTTCCTCAATTTGTACGGTAATTCATTTACTCCCACAATAATCGGCCACATGCTTTTTTTCGATGACCGGCAAAAGTGTACGCCATCCGTATTCCACTGAATAGAAATATCATCATCGGCTATGACATTTTTATTTCTTAATTTTTTGTATACTGAGCCATTCACTATATCACTTTCTTCACATTCTTTACGAAGATTTTTATATAGTCTAGAGCTAAACATTTCTTCTAGTTGGTCTTTCAATGGTATGTATACAAAAAAATCGCCCCCTTTTATTAATTCTACTTTATTGTATTGCTTAAGGCAATTGGTGCACTCGGCAACTGAGAGATTTCCAAAATCAATGATATTCGTGCATGTTTGGCAGATGAAAATTCGCTGCAATATTGGATTGGGAATATTTTTAAGGAACCTGTATTTTGACTTGTGCAATTTGTATGGCAAATGGCAATCTACAAGATGTAGCATATTTTCTAATGCTACATCTGGTAAATTATGCCTTAAAGCTGTTGCCAAAACAAGCAATTCACTTTCTTTTTTATTCACCAAACACCCATTGTAAATTATATCTTCATCCTAAATGAAAAATATATTTATATATTTATTATAGAAAATATAGCGGGACTTCGGTATCACTTTAAGATGATGCCTTGGCCACAATTTTTACCATCCGAGCACGGAAAATGTATATTTTCGTAATTTTTTTTCCAGGCTGATTTTCCGAAAACGCCTCTGTGGAGCCCTCCGTATTGTGAACAACTGCGACAAAGTTCAGCCAATTTCATCGGATAGTTTTCCCGGAAAACAGGATCAAAATTTTTTATCCTGCAAACAGTAATCAAAATTTTCGATCCTGTTTTCCGGAAAAACTACCCGATGAAATTGGCTGAAAGTTGGTATAGTTATTCACATCGTCGATACGGAGGGCTCCACAGAGCCGTTTTTGGAAAATTGGTCTAGTATAAAAGTTATTTACACTTATAATGCTCGTTCGGTCAAAATCGGGACTTCTGCATCACCTTAATGACGCAATCTAAAGTTGGATTAATTTTTTTTTATTTGAATCAGTTATTCAATCGTCACTCTAGCGCAAAACCCACACAAGTAAACTCGAGTGAAGGAACCAGAATCAATAATAACAGAATTCAATAATAACAGAACTCAATAATGAAGTCTGTTTGTCTGCCGATCACCAAAAATTGAGGGAAATAGAGCTTTGGTAGTGCCGATGAACATATTACAATATTGGCATAATCGATAGATACAAACATATTTATTTTTGGACTTTAATGCTATTTTTTATAATTTAGGGGTTTTGAGGTCATGAATATGATTTTGGTTAACAAATTTGGAATTCCTCATCAAATTTTACATAATTAATCATGTTTCAACAATTTTTTCACATTCACCATTGGGAAGCAGAATAAAATTTGAAAAATCAAATTCCGATTTTGATCCAAGAGAGAGAGGGACAGTAGACACTAGAAAGGCTAGACTTTTATTTTGAATATTTTTTATTCGAAACAAATTGAAAACTGATAAACTTATTAACCCCATTAAAAAAAATCTTGTTTACAATCGTACTTTCTCACTCTCTAGTGTATATCTATTTCAAATAATATCGAAATGTCAGTGCCATTTGCATCTAAATGCTGCTTAAGAACAGAAGAATTACTATTAATGAAAAGGGACTTTTTCAACGCTATGGAGTGGTCAATTACTCATTTTGAAAAAGAAAACTACGGTAAATCGGTACGAAAGGCTGATGTCTGGGACTTCAAGCTAATTTTTAAGGAAGCAGCAATGTGGATTCGAAGGAAACATAATTTATTAGATAAAAAATATTTGAATGGTTATATTATAGAACTTTAATTCTATATATTGATGCATTAGTTTGCCAATATAAAATTTATAATAGTTATAAATCTGTTTGCAGGTAAAAATATGCGATTATTGTTTGTAAAAACTCGAAAACAATACGTCGCTGCGTTTACTAGCCGCTCCGAAGTGGCGAACTTAACGAATGAAGAGAAGGATTTTTTAAAAAAGTTTGTAGAATTTTACAGAAAATTAGAAACTAACATATACATTATGAATTTAACATCAACAATTAAACTCAATAACTACTAAACTCAAAAGCAAATAAAAAATCGTTCTAAAGTAAGATGAAATTTGATCTTTTTATTATATAATTAGTCAAATGAACGATTATTCTAATTAAATACGAGAACCTCTGAGAAATTTGAATTGTGTATGTAGCACAAGCAAACATAATATAGTCTCACTCTCAATCAGAGGTAATTAAAAAATCCAGTCTTCACTAGATGAACAATAGTCTGCCCACGCAGCAGCATTTTTCATAAACAAATAATATTTTGAAGCATGCAGTACTGAATTAGTACTGAAAACTGTAGTCATTTCCTTGAATTTTCCATCATCTTGAGTTCATCACTGTTTTATTTTCACCAGTGGTAACATGACCTGTTACCTGTTGCAGAAGTAGCGCTCACAAGTCGAATATATTGTACTCCCAAAATAAAACAATAATAATTTAGTATAACTTATTAAAATTAAAAATATTAATTGTGTATTCACTAGTCAACCTGGAATCTGTACTTGATGGATTTGATTTGGGTTAATTGTTTGATTAGCTAATAACCTTATAATAGGATTGTTATTGTTATTGGATTGTTATTGTTGAGCTGGCTATTGTTGAAAATAAAATAATTATGAAGTAATCTTTAGATGAAGACATTTTTTTTTTTAATATGTACTTGTTTTTATCCACTTGATGGTAAAATATGTTGTACTTTATTTGATGATTGAATGAGACCTATTTGATGAGCTTGGGCAAAAGTTAAAGTTTTTGTAGGACTACCCATACTTATATTTGACGCAGTGTTTAAAACAAAATCAATAGTTTGACCAGCAGCTTCATCAGGAGTTGCAATTAAAAGTTGTTGATAACTCTGGGCTGGAGTATTGGAAATTATCATCTTTGTGGTATAAACCTGAGAAGATGGATTTATGTATTAAAGAAATATTCTGCAATGAATTAGAAAATGTACAATAAACTTATATTTTTGTTTTAATGAAGATTTTTTTTACTAGCTATTGATTGCGTTGATTTTGCTACAGTAGTTCCAAATGTTTCAGCCAGTAAAACAACATTTCCATCTGGTGTTTGACCAGGCATAATTGTTTGAGTCAGAGTTTGCAATTGATCTTTAGGAATTGACACAGAGGAAGAGTGTGATATTTTCAAAAAGTATCGTTGTCCACCAACTGCAGACTGAATAATCAGCATTGCTTGTGTTTGAGTTGCTGGTGCAATGTTTTGTATAGTCTGCAATCATAAAGAATTATATCAGCAGAACCGTTTTGAATATTAATAATACTTTACAAAAGATATAAATAAAACTCACAGATATGGTAGTGACTGGAGCAATTTTATGCAGTGTTTTTCAGGTACCAAACTAAGAGCTCCAATTGGATCAGCAGTAATAATAAATTTGGGTTGAAGACTTGATGTTGTGGGATGTTTGTAACTAATCTGACTTGAAAACTTGTGTTTGATCATCGGATCATCATTGTATGTTAAATACACAGGGATGAATTTCTATTTAAATCACATATTTTTATATCTGCCCCTGCAATAAAATGAACATTTATTTATTTGGACATTTAACAAATACTCATTTGAATCACTTACATTTGAAAAAACTTGTTTGAATCATTAGTAGCTATGTTGTGATTTTTCTTGCGCCCTGGATGGATGATACATTTATTCTTATGCAATTTTTTTCAGCTCAGAATTATTACAGTGCATCAAAAAGAATTAGTAAAAAATTTACATATATATACTCACCTAAGCTTCAATGCAATAATACAGCACCACAGTAGCAGCAACAGTAATAGTAACAGCAACAGCAACATCAACCACAACAAATACTATGAGTCTTTGCTATTCGCTAGTCCAAAAAACCTCTTGCATATCTGGTACCAGCGAATCAAAGAGAATTAGTAAAAAAGTAATTATAAATGCACATGATACTTGCATATACTTACCTGAGATGCAATGCAGCAATGCAGTGACACAGTAATAGCCCAAAGTCGAAGAATATAATAAACCAAAATTTCACAAGTCTCAATGAAAGGTCGGTGTTAGGCTCTGCACGCGTAAAATGTTGAGTTGTCTGCTAGCGCCTCGTACGAAACGTACACACGCGTGAAGGCCTGTGCGCGCGTAATTATGTATAGACTATGCCTCGGAAGAGAAGAGGCATGTCGCTACTGCTCTCTACGATACTTACCAGACGGAGCACAAAACTTTCTTTGATCATGTTACTAGTGAGAAATTCAAAGTATAAGATACACGTACGTAAGTTCATAACTATCGAATTAAACAAATTTAATTATCCAAAAAAAATTCTAGAATAAAAAAGGCAGGTTTTTCACTCGAGTTTACTTGTGTGGGTTTTGCGCTAGAGGGACGATTGAATAACTGATTCAGATAAAAAAAATTAATCCAACTTATTATCACGTCATTAACAATAATTTTTTTATCCTTTTCTATCAGGCTCTTTTAATACTACCTTAAATTGTAAAACGTTAACGAAGATACCGAAGCCAGATTACAATTATTTTTTCCTAAGAAATTGTTTCAAGATTTTTTTGTTTCTCTACTGTTAAGTTACGTAAATTTCTAAATTACAAAATTAATGCATCCACATAGTTTTCAAGCCACGCATTCAGTAAAAGAATCTCAAATAAATGTCTTGGGAAAAAATCATTTTCGCCTGGCTTTGGTCTTAAAATAAACATTCACTTGCATCATCAGATGATAATTCAATATCAGTATCGCTATGAGATTTTGTGTCATCATCCTCATCTTCATCATTGTCAGTATCATTGTAATTAATAAACTCGTTATCATCGTCTTGATGATCATCAAAGATGCCATTTTCATTGTTATCGTTATTATTGTCATCATTAATATCATCATCACCATCGCTAATGTAACTTTCAAATAAATGATGATTTTCATTATCATTCTCATTATTTTCATCATCTGAATTATTCGCTTCAGGCAATAATTCGATAAGAATTGGTTCGCAATGTTCATGACTTGAATTCACTTGTATCAATGCATTAGGGGTAGTAACATAGTCTCTTTCACCATTATCGACTGCACAATTTTTACTAATTTCACTAGTACCTTCCTCATTATTTTCAAGATTATTTTGTGATTTAATCGCATTATACTCGTCCTACAATAAACGAAATATCTTTCAAAAGATAGCGTTTATTTAAGTTAAATTTAAGAACAAAGATAATTGATAATTTTTCAAGTTTTCATTTAAAATGTACTTGAAAAATAATTATGCAGATTTTTTATTCGTTATTTTATTGTTGGTCACAGAATTTTACGATGCTTATGCGTGAGAAAGGGGGTGATAAGAATAGATAACTGTATAGTTTAAAAGTGAGATCATCGAAAAATGGCGAATTGGACGCTATTTATTGACAACATTGTAAGTGCGATTAAAAATCTATAATGCGATATGATACTTGAAAAATTCAATTATATTGGTGCAATACTTGAAGCATTTCGTGCGTTAGCTTCGTATTAATGAATTATTTTTTTCTCACTGTGGTTGTATATGTATGTACACTTATATTCATTAAAAAGGGCATGTATATATATTTTTTAAAACTGCGTAGAACAACAAGTACATGCCAATCAACTGACATTATCGGTTTCAAGTCGGTTCATTTACTATGACCTACCTCAAGCTTTTGTCTTTTTATTCTGGATCTTATTGTTGATGGTGGAATTCCTAGGCTTGGATTTAAATCATAAAGTTTGTAAGGACCTCTTTTTCTTTTGTTCGAGATATTCATTGTTTAATAAAACTTCGATACATTCAAATCTAGAAGTGTTAGTGCACTAGAGTAAACAGTGCAATGTGAGACGAAGCTAATTGTCTGAATTGGTTCGTGAGCTTCGTAACGATTAACCCTTCATATACTATTATTTTATTATGAATCTCTTCAACGAATCAAATTAAGTACTTACCTTTACTATTTGCCTGTTGCCAACGTCTAACGGGTGTAGTGTGCCCCAAAGCCGCCAATGTGCTCTGTCAAGCCATGCCGAACTTCTACACCAACTTCTCCAATGACGCCGATTATTATCCGAGAAAGATGTTGCTACGTGATCGGAAATAGATTTCGGATCATTATAGAACATCGAATTTTTTTTTTAAATTATTTAGGATTGTAAGAAAATATTTTACTTGGAGATGCTTCAATTCTCGCCGATGATCGCCGTCGTAAATGCCGCAATGCCGACGATGTTGACTGCGAAAACGATCCAAACTGCGCGTTCTCCAAGGTCACCTTGATTGATGATGATGAGAGATCGATGAAAAAATATTTTACTCAGTGTGTCAATGCCCCAATACCGACGATCTTGACTGCCAAACGATCCGAGCTGGTACAACGCGTTCTCTAAGATCACCGATTATCACTCCTGAACGATGATGCTGCAATATGATTGAAAACAATTATTGATTATCGTGAAAGAATTGCGATTTTTCGATCGCGTTATCAAGGTTAATAAAAAATAAAGTGTACTCGCTTTAACTTCGATTTGAATTATGCCGCTTACAATACGAATTGAATGTTGCTAATGAATGTACAGTCACAGTTGCATTATAATGCTGTACATTCGTATTGTAATAAGCGGCATAATTCAAATCGAAGTTAAAGCGAGTACACTTTATTTTTTATTAACCTTGATAACGCGATCGAAAAATCGCAATTCTTTCACGATAATCAATAATTGTTTTCAATCATATTGCAGCATCATCGTTCAGGAGTGATAATCGGTGATCTTAGAGAACGCGTTGTACCAGCTCGGATCGTTTGGCAGTCAAGATCGTCGGTATTGGGGCATTGACACACTGAGTAAAATATTTTTTCATCGATCTCTCATCATCATCAATCAAGGTGACCTTGGAGAACGCGCAGTTTGGATCGTTTTCGCAGTCAACATCGTCGGCATTGCGGCATTTACGACGGCGATCATCGGCGAGAATTGAAGCATCTCCAAGTAAAATATTTTCTTACAATCCTAAATAATTTAAAAAAAAAATTCGATGTTCTATAATGATCCGAAATCTATTTCCGATCACGTAGCAACATCTTTCTCGGATAATAATCGGCGTCATTGGAGAAGTTGGTGTAGAAGTTCGACATCGTTTTACAGTAACTATTGTCAACTTTGTGGCACGAAGTATATTCATTGGTCATCGGCAAGGAATAAAGGTAAGCACTCAATCCGAGTCATTGATAAGCATCATTATTTGAAAAATATTACTCGAAATGTTATGCATACGGTGGCAGGTCATTTAAACTTTGCTAAAGTTTGTTTGTGTGCAGTTTTTACATTATTAAATCGTTTATATTAGTTTTTAGATGAGAGCCTTTGATTAATATTTATAAAGTAGGTGGATCCGAATATTTAAATATTTTGTCATGGATTGTAATTCCTTTAAGCTTCTAAGTAATACCTAACTGATTTGCGTGTACATTTGTCTAAATGAGATAAATTCGATTTTTACACAGTGAGATCGTTGGTTTAATTTTCGGCTTAATTTAATTTTTCAAATTTAAATGCTAGATGTTTTTCTTGGAATACTTTTTGAACTGCAGAAAATTTGCATACAACATTTTTTTTTCTCTAGAATTTGTGAATTTAAAATTATTAAGTCGAACTTAACGGAAGCACTGGCGTTAGTATTTGCTTATCAAATATTTAATTGTATGAAGTGCGTTATACTTCAATATTATATTTCGCAGTCGCATTTTATGCGGCACTATCATTCAGAACATTTGAACTATAATACTTTCTGGTATTATAATGGCATCATCAATCTTAAATATCATTCTTACAGTTTTCACATGAATTCCGAGATTTTAGAAAAATTGAAAGATATAAAAGATGAGCATTGCATCTTGGTAAAATTTGTGAATGAAGACGAAGAACCAATTGATATTGGGTTTTTACCTTGGATTAAAAATGATATTGATAAAGGACGTCTGACAAAAATAGAAGAAAATAGTGAAGATATCGAAGTATATTGGCCTAATTGTAACACAACCTCTGCTCGTACCTTGAAAAACCAATTAAAAAGTGTTGACTTTCGTGCAGAACCTGTCAAAATTCTGGGGTCTGGCTGTGAGTATACATATAACTTTATTTTTCTTTTGATTCCGAAATACAATCTCAGACCAGACACTCTTACAAAGCGTATGTTTTTTAAAAAAACACTGTATTTATTCCACATTTGCTTCGATTTGCACAGAGTTAAAAACGATATGGCTTAGAAATTCCGAATGATTTTTTTTTATTTTTCCGATTAATGATATCAATGGTTTCAGAAATCAGCGATTTTTCCGAGTGTTGGTTGAGTTTCATTTATAGAATTTATTATTCCTTTGGTATGGCAATTGATTTTTTCATAAGTTTTTCATGAGTTTTTTATACAAACTCGCATTACACAAGATAATTTTTCAAGATTTCAAGGTTAAGACGCAAATGGTTCGAAAGTTATGGGCAAAAAATGATGAAAAGCCATAGTTTTACTAAACTTTACTGCGATTCTAGACTCGGCGTATGCTATATGATTCTTTTGTTGCTGTATCGTAGGGTGATGCTCAGAGCTCGACTATGAGTTTCTTTCTTTTTTTGAATTTTTGAACAAATTGAATCATCTTGAAGTTTCAGTATTTTTGAATTTTTGAATATTCAACATTGTAATGACTTTCTTTTTGAGCGATGAAGGAAGTTTTTATACAATTATTTAGAATACTTTGAGACTTTCTTTTCTGCTTAAATGATAGGTGTCCGGAACTCGTAGAATCGTATAGTTATTTACGCAATACAGAAAGCTCATTAAAAATTAACTTGGTGCTTTGTACGTCTTTAATCAAATTAGTTTAACTTTAAGCATTATATACCGGCTGATCAGCCATTTGCTGTGTGAAGTTGTTCCTCTTGCTGCACATGCATGAATCAATTTTAATTAATATTCTTAAATATTAAAGTCACAATTTGGGGTTTCTACTTCTTAAATGGAAGATCTTATCGTAACCTACTCTCAGATAACGACTTTTTTCTGAACCACTGATATTTACAAAGTAAGAACATTATTTAGACTAGTGTCTTTTCGAGATGTTATTTTTCGCTTCGTTCAAGTTACAAAATTTTAATGAAAATCACATCGTTGTAATACTTTCGGATCACCTCATTTTGAAAGAATTGTTCTTATAGCGG